GGGAAAGATAAAATTCTTTAATGAGTCTTAATATCTCAAGGGACTAGTCACTGACAATTATCGAAGGATATTCTAAGTTCACCAAAAATGGAATGTTACATTTTTCATGAAAAATAATTCTATTTTCTTAATCAATTTTTTAAGAATAATAATGAATATTTATATTACATTAATTAACCATGAAATACTAAGTCAGCAATGATGGCTTTGGGGTTGAGAGTATCACCATTCTTAGGGATGGCAATGGGGCTCATGGGGCGGGTAGTAGTAAACTCGTTCCTGTCTCGCTGGATGAAAATTAGTCTTATATCCACCTTATATCCGTGCGGGTATTCATTAAATGGGTATTCATGAATTTCTTAAATACCCACAGATATCTATGCATATCCATGGATATTTATAATTTTTTTAAGAAATTAAAAAAAATTATTATAAATAATTTTAAGTTTATATTTAATATCATTGAAATATTAAAAATAAAAATTCAGTATTAATTTTGAACTTGTATTTAACGTTAATTTTGTTGAAATAATAATAAAAATGCAAGATAATCAATAACTTAAAATACATTAATCTCACAAGTAAGTTAAAGTTTCATCACAAAGCTACAATAATTTAATCTCATAATTCCAAACAAAATTAAACAACTTAAAATACATAAATCTTATTGGTCCAATCTATGACGTAGCAAGTTGGTGTTTTAGTAGCCTAGAATGGGCCGTTCCCAATCTGGAACGTACCGTTCCAAGCTATTAAAATGACCTATAAATCGTTGTTGAGAACGGGCCGTTCTGGAGGGAGAACGGGCCATTCTGGTTGGAGAACGGGCCGTTCTAGAGGGAAAACGGGTCGTTCTGAAGGGGAGTACGGGCCGTTCTGGATGGAGAACAGGCCGTTCTGGATGAGTTCCAGAACGGGCCGTTTTGATTTTAGAATGGGTCGTTCTGCATGTGATTTTTGCACATGATGAAGGGGTGCAGAACGGGCTGTTCTAGATTCGGTACATGCCGTTCTGGCCACTCTGGAATGTCTATAAATAGAGGTTGTGGACAGTTGAGGAGAGAAGGTTTTAGAGAGAAGGGCTCTGGACTAGAAAGCTTACATTTGAAGAATTGAAGTTCCAAGTTGAGCTTTGGAAAGGGAATTCCGCTTCTTGGCTATCATGATCCAATCCTCAGGTAAGGGAAGCTAGTTCTTTGGCTGATTTTGTTGGAAAATGAGTTCATAAACTCATTGAGTGGCTGATTTTCTGATGATTGATGAGCTGTTTTGATGAAAACGAGTTTTCGGGGTTTTGATGAAAATCTTGGGATTTTTCTTGATTGTGGTTGCATGTGGGAAAAGCTAGGATTACTGGGTTGTTTGATGAAAATGTGATGTTTTGAGCCGATTGCATGCATCTAGAAAGATGAGTTGGTGGAGGTTTTGAAGAAAATTTTTGAAGTTTGAGGGTTGCTGCTGGGTATCACGCTGGGCGCAGTTCTTCGCGCCGGGCGCGTGACCATCAGAGAGCTCCATTGGGCAAGCCCGCCGGGGGCAGTGGTGTATGCGCCGGGCGAGCTTGAGGGTGTGAGCCTCTGGATGGCCCCCGCTGGGCGTGGTTGGACCGTGTTGGGCGCGATATCAGTAAGTGACATTACTTGGGGATTTCTGGTGAGGCACCGGGCGTGGCCTTGTCTTGCCGGGCGTGGAGACTCCTTGGGAGTCTCTGCTAGAGGTGGCGCCGAGCGCAATTTATATTGCGCCGGGCGCGAGACTTTGGGAAAGTCTCTGCTTACCCTGCGCCGAGCGAGGGTTTGCACGCCGGGCATGTGAGACCTTCTGTGGTCTCTGCCTCCTAGCACGCCGGGCGCAATGGGAATTGTGTCGAGTGCGCTGAGCCCTGGTGCTCTCTAGTTGTGTCACGCCGGGCGCGACTATGAGCGCGCCGGGCACTGTCATGATATTTGATGTTAAGCTGTTATGAGTAGAAAGTTGCTTATAAATATGCTGAGCTGAGCTGTAGATGTTAAACATTACTGTGCTGACTAGTTGATAATGCTGAATTATGATGTTGAGCTGTAGTTGATGTATATTGTTGTGTTGTAAGTTGTTTAGCTGTGCTGAATGTCGATATTACTGTGTTGTAAGTTGTTTAGCCGTGTTGGATGCTGATATTACTGTGCTGTAAGTTGTTTAGCTAAGTTGTAAGCCGTTATTGCTGTATGTTGATTTGCTGTGCTGTGCTAAGCCGTATGCTGTTATTAGCCACTATTGTGGTGCTGTTGTAGCCGCTATGTCGGGGCTGTTTTTAGCCCCTATTGTGGTACTATAGCTGTTATGTCGGTGCTGTTATTAGCCACTATTGTGGTGCTGCTGTAGCTGCTATATCGGTGTTGTTATTAGCCACTATTGTGGTACTATAGCTGTTATGTCGGTGCTGTTATTAGCCACTATTGTGGTACTATAGCCGCTATGTTGGTGCTGTTATTAGCTACTATTGTGGTGCTGTTATAGCCGCTAAGTCGGTATTGTTATTGTTGAATGCTGTGGTATCTTTAAGCCGATTTTGGTTGAGCTGATTGATGTGCTGATTAATGTGCTGATAGCTGTAGCTGTTTTCCATTCACATGTTTATATATGTATGTTGTTTCTTTTCACTAGCTTACCCTTTGTTGTTTCCATGTGGTTTGGACTGCAATGATCATACTATGTATGAGAGCAGGGCAGGGTTAGGTTGGTGTTTTACTGAGGAAGGTCTGCAACTGGCAGATGAAGTTATTATTTTGATGTATTTAGCTACTTAGTTAGCATTTGTTGGATGTATTTTTATACACTCCGATTCTAGACGGATTTGGACCTTGTATATATATATATATATATTCTAGATCCTATATATATATATATATATATATATATTCTAGATCCTATGTGTATATACTCATTCGTTTCTGTGTAGTATTCTGGTGTGTTGTGCTGTGTGTATTGACCAGGCGGGTTGTTATACAATCAAAGCTAGAAAATTAATCAAATTACATCTAACATAATTCTATAACATGCTTAACACATGTTGGTAACTTCATCAACCTCACTTTTGTAAGAAAATAAGATGAGAAAGTGTAGTTTTAGGGTTATGTGGTACAAAGATAATTAGGATATTTAAGAAATATTATTAAACGGGTGCCAACAGGTATGGATATCATCATACCCGCCCCTGCCCCATTTATAAACGGTAAAAAATTATCCGTCTTCATTATTCACGGGTACTCAATTAACCTATCTATTTATTATCCGTAACGGATTTTACCCATAAATACCTGCGGATGCGGGTATTTTTGCCATCCCTAACTATCCTCATATGCTATTATGGCCAAATTAAATTGTCCTTGAAGATCCATCTTAGGTCTAGTTGGGACCACTTCTTTAATCACCATCCAATACTTCGTTACCTGAGCCTGACCCATTCATACAACTTACAGAAAACATGAATCTCTAAGCTTGAGCCATTTTTACCTTGTTAAAAGTTGGTTTAAAGAATCCAATTAAACATTTTATTTAATAAAGTAAATAATAATAAATCAATCAATCACTTGATAAATTTAACCCACTAATTTAAACATTTATGAATAAATACACAATATATACGCTAAATATGTTTATTGTCATTCAAAAACAAATCGTCTTATATAATACTTTTTTAACTTTTATCTTAACTACCTTTATGAGACATTTGGTACGTAGGGAAAACTTAGTTTTCATGAATCTAAAAGTTAGAAATAATTTTTTTTTATATAAAATAAAATTTGAAATATTAATTTATTGTGTTCAGTATGCAATTTAATAATATTAAAAACATTCGTATAAACCTAAATAAAATAAGTCATAATTTGAAGAAGGAGACTTTCACTTTCTAGACTTACTTAATTGGATATTCTCAATACATATTTTTTCTCCTATTTGAATGTGTTTTACACTCTACCTCCTCAACCACTATTTCAAAATATTGTCTTTTTATCTTTATCTCTATAACTCGATATTTTCTAATAACATGCGTGGCATGATTAATAATTGGATTTTTTTTTTTTTTTTTTTGCAGTGGGTTTTACTACTGGTCCATGAATTAAAATTCACGAAAAGCATTCTATGTATGAAGATCGATAGGTTGATAATCAAACCACAATTAATTTCACATCTAAAGAATGTCAAGACACGTTTGGCACCCATAACGTTACGAAAATAAATAAAAGTTATAGCATGTGTTTGGTTTCACGTTTAAAACGTAAAAAATCACGTTTAACGTGAAGCTACACATTGTAGCTTCTACGTTAAACGTGATTTTTCACGTTTCAAATGTGAAATCAAACACGCACATAGTTTAATACAATCGAGTTAGCTCTTTTTAGAATATATTAGATTCAATACTTATGCAATATACGATTTATTTTGATAAGTTAATATATTTTTTTATATTTAATTGATTTTACAATGAAAAATTGACGATAAAAATATTACAAATTAATCAAAATTAATATTAAAAAAATAATATACACTAATTTATTCTTAATTATCTTTTGATCGACGATGTCCATAAATATAAAAAGTATGATAGGAAATATTTAAATATTTATAAGAATAATTTTTGAAACTACCATTTTTGTCAAGTATTTATTAATATTTTTTATTCGCATTACATCATACATTTACTATTTTATTAAATTAATCAACTAATATCCTAATTATTTGTTTTGATAATGATTATAATACATTTTTTTTCTTTTATTTGTGTTGTCCGGGTTATAACGATTTTAAATCAGTTAAATTTTTTTTATATTAATGATTAGTAATTATTAAAATATTTTTATCCCAATTTATCTTTTATTTTGATATATTTGTTTGTTTTTAATTATTTTCAATACTAGTTTTGATATATTTGTTTATTTTTAATTATTTTTAGTAGCAGTTTTGATATATTTATTTATTTTTAAATATTTTCAGTAGTAGCTTAATTTATAATATTATTTATATATAAAAATATTTTTTGAGAAAATTATTGGAGGAAATAAATATTTACAACAAATTTATTAAAGAAAAGTTTATTAAAAGAAATTACTGGAAAGAAGTTTCAAAGGGTAACTCCAAGTGTGTGGTTCAGCAATAGGGGTTGATCCACGCTTAAGCAAGGTCAGGGGTTCGAATCCTGCCTTGTGTATGTAGCCGCGTTAAATCTTGGGGCCAGCGGTGGATACTCCAGGGACGAACCAAAAAAAAAAAGGAAGAAGTTATTTCCTTTATATATATTAATTATAACTTTTTTTAATGAATTTTTTTGGTAAGAAAAGTATTACACAAAACAATATACGATGCATTGGCGATTATTTTCCATTAAATACATAAGTTTATCTTTCCCTTTTATATCTTTTAAATAACTAATATAAGAATGTGGCCTCTTTCCATTAAATTCGTGTAATTTTTTTAATATAAGAAGTAATAGTATTCCTTTATCTTTCCCTTTTATATCCAATTAGCTGCTAATAGCCTAGCAGTCATGTGATTTGTTCTTAAATATTAAAACTTGTTTCATATTCATGTTTTGAGTAATTGTTTTATGATAAATAGTACTGCTAATAATTAGTCCTAAGGAAATAAAATCATTTAAATGGTTTAATGGTTGCCGTCACATTATTTCAAAAGTTTAAAAGTATAATAACAACTTTAAGAAATTGAATATATTTTACAAGAGAATCTGTGTATAAAATTTATTTAATAATATTTCTGTTATTAAAAAAATCACATAAAATTCAATTGATATTGTATAATTGTATTAATTTGTCATTTTCAATAAAAGATTAAAAATAAATTTAAGATATAAAATTTTATCTTAAATTTGAAAAAAGAAACATTTAAGCATTTTTAATATTACAAGATAAGGTGGACATGTTTTTTCACAAATATTATAATTATAAAATAATTTGTTAAAGTTTACTTAAATAGTATCTTATCTGTGCATAAGATTTGGAATCCAACCTAACATAGGGGAAGATAGTACATTGAATGGATACATAAAAGACGCTAGTGGACGCTCCTAACTCCAACAGGTAGCCGCCAATTGCGAAGAGATTATTAATTATTACCTATACTTGTCCCTTAAATCAATCACAAAATAAAATAATAACAAGTCACATTTTACATATTCAGAATGAGAATTTATTATTACAGCACAATTGGTAATTTTTAATTTATTAATGTTTTGAGGGGTGCGACTGATTTTCTGCTTTCCATTTTCTTTTTATAACCACCGTATCAATACTATTTTTTTGTTTCATATATTTAGTTTTTTTTTTTCTTCTAAAGAAACAGTAGTTTTAATAATACTAAAACATCATTATTTTATTTTATTTTCACTTATACCCCCCTATTTAAGGATCATTATAATGATAGTTCATCACAGATAGTGATATTAAATAAGAATATTTTTTAATCACATTATCATTAACATCAATAAATATAGAATTAAGATAGTAACATAATAATATTTCACTTCCTTTGTGCAGTACCCTGATCCTGCAGGAAATAATGAGCAAATAATAGCAGGTGAAAATAACAGTTCATGCTTCCAATATGGCAAACACTGAAAAGAAACTTAAATGAACTAGGCCAAACACAAACATACTAATGTTTGGTGTCTACGAGACCCAAAATAATGATCCTTTCATCCCGGAGGAAATCAATAAAATCATGAACTTATAATATAATCAATTTGCGCTGTGAGGGAAAAATCAATAAATTAATAATCAATGTCTGAATGAATTTTCATGTTACAGAAAATTACAAATTGTATTGACATCAGACCGGTCAGGAGAAATGAGAATTGTACAACTTTCTATTAGCCATCTTCATCAATAAAGCTTACTCTGTTTGTTGTCCCTCTTAAGCTGAACCTTTAGTTTCTTACCACCCAATTGACAACCATTCATCATACTAATGGCAGCTTGAGCAGCTTCTGGAGTATCGTAACTAACAAACCCTGCAAATGGGAGCTAATCAGATACAACACACAAAACTCATCAAATTCATTAACACGGATGTAACATAATCTTACCAAAACATTTGCTTACACCAGTTGCTTTATCAACAAAAATTTTAGCACTCAAAACTCTACCGAACTGTTGAAATGCAGTTGCAAGCTCTTGATCTCCATATTCTTGAGGTATGTGATAAATAAATAGATTGGCACCGGGTGGTCCTAAGTCAGAGAAATTAAATTAATGAACCGAATTTGAACTATCAACAAAACTAACATTTCCTACTCTAAGGAAAGACATGAGAAAAAGCCTATTTATACACATTTACACGCATGCATGCATGTTATGTATACACAGTATACACAAATATAAGATATTAGGTATAGATAACAACCTTCAATCTGACCACTGGAACTTCTACTGGCACCTGATGATGAAGAGTTGATATTTCCACCTGCAGGTGAAACAGAACCAGGAGAACTACTCACTGGCCCTGGACTTACAATTCCTCTGGCATATGCCATTGGATGCTGTATACCTGGCACAGCAGGATAAGAGCCTATGTAACTTGCAGGAGGTGCAGGATAATTTCTAGGGTCCATATTATGACCTAGATCAGGCCTCACTGCATTTCTTTGGTTCATGTGAGGCATCATATGATGGAAACCTGGTTGATTCTGCATTGGTGGCAAACGGTATGGCATGAGCCCATAACCCCCAGGAGCCTATTGTGAAAACACGATTATTCAAACATATACCCCCATCAAGATGTTAGGCATGAAAATAACAAATATTAATTCATAAATGTAATAACTTCTGATACGACGACATGATTATACTGAAGAAAAGTTCCCTGATTTAGGGGGGGGAGGAGCTGCGTATTATCATAGTGCATTACAATAGAACTAACCTGATAACCATATCCGTTATATGGAGGAACATAACCCATTGGCAAGGCTCCATATAATGAGGGGTGTTGAGGATCATCATGTGGCACATTAGAAACTTGGGACTGTGCTTTCTGAGCCCTTCGAGCATGTCTTTCTTTTTCAGTATCTGCCCATTTAACAACCAAAGGAACACTTGAACCCTGTAGAAGGAAAAATATCTATCAGATTGCAATTGTCTGAATTTATATAATTGCTGAGTTAGCGATGTTATTGACAGTTTTCATCAAGTATGAGTAGCAAATATATCAACTACCCAGGAAAAAAGAGTTCTATAGTTGTGCTAACATGGTACAAAAAAATTGTGTCAACATGAAATCTTGTATTTCATAATTCATTAGTCAACTTACTGAAACATTGGTTGCTGAGTAAATCTAAATTTTATGTAAATCGTGCCAATTTGTTTTGAGTAAATGTGATGCGTGTAACTCCGTTAAGATGTTGCTCTGCAAACATGTTGACTTTTTTATACTTAATACATTATTGACTGTGTGCACAAGTGTGTATGTAACTATGTATAACAACCCCAAGTTTGAGCTATAATCAGCTTGGTCTCATTTAAGCAAAACATAAAGTAAGCCTCACAGGCCAGAGCTTGAGTTTTCTCCTTTTCCAGGCTTGGATTCAGTTCAAGCCTGTCATGAATGATTATTAATAATGTTAGTGAATCTAAAACAACCGATATTGTGTATGAATGATTAATAATGTTCGATACCATTAAATTGAAGATCAATTAATGCTAAATTACAATTTAGCCAACTGTATCAGCAAAATTGCAAATATTGCCTCTAAATCTGAAAATATCATACATTTGGCTGACAATATAGTTGCAATTTAAAAGATGCATATTAAATCAAATCTCTCATTCCCTGCATTATTATCATATAGTAATCAATGGAGTTTTCCAAAACATTCATAATATTACACACCACCGGTACCAATAACCAAATAAAATATATATTGTCAAATATTCAGGTGATGGTTTAAACAAACACTGACCTCCATTTTATGCTTTCCATTGATTGCCTCAAGAGCGGCATCAGCCTGTTCTTTGGTTTCATACTTCAAAAATGCACATCCTGCACAAAGGAATGCAACTACGAATAAAGCTTTGCTATTAAGAAGCACCAAAGCCCAAAAGAAATAAAGGATAGTTTCAACATTAACATTAGCACCTTTACTTGTCTGCTGAGAACCTCTTAAAATCTGTAAATCCTTTATCGTTCCATACTTTGAGAAAAGATCAGAGACCTCAACTTCAGAAATATTCTTTGGAAGCATGCCGATAAAGAGTTTGTGTTCTGCACACAGACAATAAAATATTATTTATCAAGTCAAAATACATTTGTCCTAAAGTGAAAAGAGGAACTTTTTATTCAGTAAATAATGCATAACAAAGGAGTCACTGAACAAAATATTTAACTTCAACAATAAGGATATATCACACCTAATCTTTCCAACTCCCCATCTGCATACTTCACTTGCAACGGACTAGATGCCTGAATTGCACACAAAAAACAGGATGCTTCCCAATCAGAAGGAGAATAGTACTGTCATTGGATCACAGTAATTAAAGCAACAATGTCAATAATGTCACCAATTGCGTTCCCCTAGGGAAAACTATGGATAGTGAAGAACATAAATATTTTAAATCTGATTCAGCTTGTTATGCAATTTTCAATCACGACTATCTAGACCAATAATTAAACAGAATATATCACATAGGCACAGAAGCCCAGCTTAGATATTTGCCTAAGTAACCACTTGAAAGTGGAGCATGGTACAGAAGGACCTCTGCCAGTTAATAATTACCAGATCAGAAAATACCCCAAAGATGCATAAAAGCATTTTTCTTAAAGAGATCATTCTCAATTCAACAATGCTTATTTTTTTTTACCTTTTCAGTTTACAGACAACAACAAACAGTAATTCCCTAAATAACAAACACATAATGCTCACCAGACCCCAACTCTTGAAACAAATTTGGACTGTTTGCTCATAATCTCAGAACAACTTTTAATAATTACATAATTGACTTCAAGTAGCAAACCCTTCAACGACCAACTTCCTTACTGTAAACATAGATGATAGATCAACTTAACAAGCACACATATCTTGTCGATAAAAATACAATTTTTAGTCTGCTTGTCCATTATTTGTATTTCTATGCTATCCCTCAATGTTAAAATTAGGTGTTTAGTTAACTTAAGCGTTGCCCAAATAACAAATAATACAAATTACTAAAAATAGAGAAACGTTGTTGGCAAATCAAGAGGTGGTGGTGGTGGTCAGCATCAGCGACTTTTATAGAAGCAGTCACGTATTCCACACCACGATTCAAATTCCATGCCATCAAAAACACCCCACTTGGAACATTGTCAAAGGAAAACAACAACAACAACAACGCGCGAAGCCCACCCACCCCAGGAAGCGTTTTCTTGTTGTGACAAGCATTGACCGCCTTATCCGCTTCTTCCCTGGATGGACAAATTACAAAGCAACAACCTGCGAGTGACGAAACGAACACAATTAGCGAAATCTGAAGCATGTCACCACGCACATTGGAGGATGAAATTTTTGAATTTGAGTTTGAGACGGTTACAATTACAACCTCGGGAAGCACGAGTGAGTTTGTCTCTGATGATGTTGACCTCGTCCACCAAAGCGAACTCTTTGAACATTGCAAGCACTTCATCTTCGGTCATACGCTTCGGCACTTGACCCACGAACAGTTTCACACTCTCCTCGCTACTGGATTTACTCTCTTCCTTCCCCTCCGCCATTAATAACCACCAATGCTTCTTTCTTTCTCTCTCTCTCTCTCTCTCTCTCTCTCTCTCTCTCTCTCTCTCTCTATGTCTGCGTGTTAACACTTACACTCTCTCCTCTGTTTCCGCTGCTCTGTTTTTGGCTCTAAAATATTGGCGTGTAGCTTCGAAAAATTGTGAGTGTAGTACGTGTCGTGTGATTTGGTTTGGATTGGAGTGGTTGCAGCGAAATAGGGGATGGCAAAATTGGATCTTCCATACATAACAATGGGAATTTACATATTACAAATTAGGATTGCCATAATTATTATTACATTATTAATTAATTAACGGTTCACTAATAAGGGCTTTGTCGTGTGGCATTTTACCAAAATGCCACCGCGTACAGCTGTTGAAGAACTGGCCTTGTTCGTGGCGTAGTGGGTGGGTTGGCTGTGCCTGTTCTTCAATCTTTATTCTCACTCAACATGTCAATGTAAATGCAACCTTAATGCTAATCATTTTCTGCATTTGGCTGGCAATTCAATACTTTTTTCTCCCTTTTTTCTAAGTTTTGTACCTAAAATACTACTACTACTACCACCCAGTTACTGTTCAAACAATTGATTGCATCATCCATTAAGTGGCCAACACAGTTTTCGTAAATGCCCAAAATTCTTTGCGGGGTATCCGTGTTTTATGATTTTTTTTTATCTGTTATTTTTTATGATGGGACTTTATCTGTATTTTTAAAATTGTTGTAAGATTAATTTCAATCTTCTCGCAATATGGTGTTTGAAATTTGAAAATTGCTATAGACAAAATTGCCCATTTATCTTGAGCTCCGTTGATAATACCTACCTTGAACAAAAAGGACTTCACTGCATGAGAAACCGTTATTTGTTCAATCCGTATACCTAATACCACAATGAATTTTTCCATCACCTCATATCCTTAGCAGCCATCTAAATAGAAGGGATTCTGGTTTCTTACGTCCATGGATGGCATTACCATTCTTGCAATATTTACTAATCATGAGCTGCATCCAAAGTTTGTCCCATTTACATAAACTAACTGCCAAACCAATTTTCCCGAAAGAGAAACACTAGTTAGACACTTAGACGATTTTGACACGCCTCAAACCTACTACACCCCTACATTACATACTGTTGTCTGGTTTTATAAGTTTTGAAAACTAATTCATTTTTTTATTAGATTCTTATTAGCTGAATCAGATTTTTATTTTGCTAATGGTTATATTTCAAATTATCGATACCTAGGATCCGAGTAACACAATGTTGAATAAATAATTGAGTTGTTTCCGATGAAGTACTACGCACTAGTTCCAACATTACTATTAACTGAATTAGTAAAGAGAAGTCCATAGTTTAGGTTAAAATCCTTATTTGGTCATTTATAATTTTTTTTTTATTTTAATTTAGTCCTACTTTAATTTTTGATTTCAATTTGATCCTAATAATTTAAATTATTGCAATTTGGGACTTCTGTTCAAATGATTTAAACAGAGTTAACTATTGGTCACGTGGATGCCACGTAGACGCCAAATTTCATGAATACACCTGGAACCAGTTGCACATGTTATGTGTTAATTTTACAATTGGAACGAGCCGTTCCAAATGAAAATTTAACACACCATGATTGCATCAGAACGTGCCGTTTTGGTGTTAGAACGAACCGTTCTGAATTCAGAACGGCTCGTTCTAGAATGCCAACTTCATGCATGCGTTGACTACAATGCCGCAATGTGATTCAAAAATTAAAAATAAAAATTCATAACATATCATAAATTCAAAGACAGAAACATGATTCAGAAACTGAAAACAAAAATTCAGAACATAACATATACTAAAAAAGTTCAAAGAAATTACTAAGAAAGGAAATCATCTGGGTAACGTTGAAAGGAAATCCTAAACCACAAAAATTCAGGTTGTACCTCCTCAAGACCAGGTTGTTATTGTTGGGGTACATCGTTAATGACTTCAAGGGGAAAGATCGTTTCGTTTCATCCTTGACTGTATAGTGTCAATTTGGTAGTAAGTGGTTCACCACAATTTGACTAAAAATGAAATAAAAAATGCTAACATTGTACTTAGTGATATACTGAATCGTCCTTAATGATACACTGTATAGCCCAAATGTTTAGCAATTGAAGTTATCAATCCCCATTGACAATATTACCAAATCTAGTGTTTAAAATGCTTTGTACCTTGGGTTTTTTTCCTTGCACGATTCACAACCGTGAACCGTAGATATCGACTATTTTGGAACCAGAACGGCCCGTTCTGGTTTCAGAACGGGCCGTTCTGGTTGCAGGTGTATTCAAGAAATTTGGCATCCACTACGTGGCATCCACCTGGCATCCACGTGACCAACAGTTAACTCCGTTTAAATCATTTGGACGGAAGTCCCAAATTATAATAATTTAAATTATTGGGGACTAAATTGAAACAAAAAATTAAAGTAGAACTAAATTTAAATAAAAAAATATTATAAAGGACCAAATAAGGGTTTTAACCCCATAGTTTATATTAATGCTATCTTTTTATTGATTTACGGTGTAAACTTCGCATACAAATTAAACTCTTCAATTACTAATTGTATAATCGTGGGTCAGAGGCATGGTCTTGTCTTGCCCTGATAATTAAGGAGAAGTTGGACGTAATACAACCATTTCTAATTACTACGACCGAAACAAGACCAAATAAAGAAACTTCCTCAAAATCAAATGATTTGGTTGCACCGAAAATTCCAATCAGGGATGTCTATCAAGTTATTACTACAAGTTTGTATCTTAACACAATTTCTCCAAAATGTACTTAACCAAAAACCCCAGCAATTATTTGAGAGATGAGAAAAATAATCTTCACGTGAAAATCACCCGTATAATCACCCATACAAAAACAATCAATACCCTTTTGTTAATACAATGGTGGTAGTACAACAATCCTGGATCTCTAACTGGCCAGGACCACAGTGCAGTAAATTGGAAAAAAGGGCAAAAAAAGCATGACAACTGCATGCTAGAGTAATGAATCTATAAATATTGTTTGCATAATTGGAAGTTAAAAAAAATGATCTGGTTCACAGGGGAATGCACCTTGAATCACGGTGCAAATAATGAGAATAACTACCAAAAAGAATTCCCCAACTTGGGAGGGATTTTGTATGCAAAAGGATTAGTTCTTCAGCATATCAGGAATCATAAAGGTTAGTTGGTGTAGGCACTAGCCACCAGTGGAGATTCAATCAACTATATTGCCTTCAATCCAGCAAGTTTCCTTAGCTCCTCACATAATATAAATGTAATTGTGGTTTGTGGTCCTAACCTTGCAAATATTGCAAAGCCCCTGACAAAAGGTCTCGCATAAACAAGGTTATTCAAGCAGTGACAAAAAATAAGTAATTTTAGTGAATCATAAAGACAATAGTTGTGATTTGTGATAACTTTCAAGAAGTCGTTAATTATAAAAGTTATCAGATGGAGTGAAGCAAAGCTAACAAACAAGCTCCATGCAAGAATGCTGACCAACATAAACTCACCCTTTGTAAAGTCCCATTGGACCCTCTGTAAGCAGTACCTGGTACCACACATGAGAAATTAATTAATTAACAACTGGAATTTATAGTGAATGCAGACATGAATAGATGGTGTTCTATTCATAGTTGGGGTTTGTAAAAACCTTTCACTTATTATTACAAAATAAAGTAAATAATTTCATCCTACTTTGATTACTTAAACCTATTCAGGGAAGTGGGAAAGAGAGAATCGATTTAGTGCTTCTTCTTTTTGTTGGTAAGTGACTTTATGATTCACTCTTTCTTGAATAATTTTCTTCATTATAGACATAGGAGGGAGGCCAACAATTTTCTAGACCAAAATACAATGTAATCATTCATCTTGGACCTTTTGGGTATTATTACATAAGCTGACAGCACATACTTATTCTCACATGAACAAGAATTAGGAAAGCCAAGCCATACTCGAGGAATGCATGAAAGTAGCATAGAACTTGTAGGGCACAGTACCAACTTATCAACTAAAGTCAACCTTTCAAAGTGAGATAAACTAAGGTTTTATAGGATTCCAATATGCTGGCTTCAAAAGTCCTTGTTAAGAAGAGTTGAATGAAGGTAGCATATAGAAGAACAAAGTAAATACAAGACTAAATATACACAGCCACGTGAACAAATTGATGTAAAGGTCAATTGCTTTTAGTATTTCCAAACTCCAACTATTTTAGATGTATAAGTATAGGCTCCACTAAGGAAATAGTTTTTTTTTTCCTTCCTTTTTTACAAATTTCTCTAAGGAAATAGTTAAAAATCTTGTTTCCCAAATCCCTTTACTCCATCACACCTGGGACTTGAGACTTAGAGATTTGTTTCACAGAACACTTAGAGATTTGTTTCACAGAACACTGGTATATTAAACTAGGTCCCATTTTTGGCCAAAATTGAGCTATGTCCTTTAAGCCCTCCTACAATCAAATAGGAATCATCATCGCATTAAAATGCCTCTTTCCTTGACATTGTTTCAGGATTCAGCCAAAAGTTTGTGAAGAAGGTCTGAACAATGATGAATAAATCTCTGTTGGGTAAAAATAGAATCGTGTCTAATTGAGTAAAGAAGCAGGACACCGGTAAAAAAAGAGGTGGGGAAACAACATTAATACCTGGTATGCACAATGAAATCCGCCTTTATAGATTTTAACTCCCTTGACTTCTCGTTGCAGCATGAGACGTGTTTTAACCATATCTATGGGTGCAGTTACGAGTGTGCTCAGTATGCCAGCAACATTGCTTGAGCTATACAAGGAACACAGACCACAATTACTTCAGCTAGGTCAGATAATGGAAAACAATTTTGATTTCAAAATGATGAAAAATCGTAAAGGCACAAGTTCAAATTAATCCAGAGTTGTATGATGTGCCGATCCAGAAAAAATACTGTTTCAGTTTGTCAGATGAACAAAACAGGTTAGACAACTTTCATAAGATATGTACTTTAGTTTCAATACACTAATCAATTCTAAAGCTGTCATCCATGAATTCAGTCAACATTCAGGCTTTAACCATTCCATTTAATTTGAATCAGTTTGTATCAGGAAAGATGTAAAGAAAAAATAAATTTGACAACAGTGCCATACAACAGATGTAGAAGAAATCCTTCTTCTAGAGATGTCCATCTTACTAAAATCTGCATAAGTAAAAAATAAAACAAATGATAAAAAAGCAATAAAAGGATTCATAGTGAAGAGAAAATAAAAGGGGAGAGAGACATAGAAAAACAAAAATACACTTCAAAAGTTGACCTGCTTGGTTTCATCATATGTAGCCAGTTGGGATGCAGTCAAGGCAGCTGCTCTGGCCATGGCAGGACCCACCCCCTTCCACAAAGCTTTGATTCCCTCTTCAGATACAGTCCTCCGAAGCTCTAAAATTGGCCCACTCTTTCTCGTGTCTGGATTCATTTGCAAACGCACCTGATTGTGGGGATATGATTTTGAAGAAAAAAGGAAGAAAATATTTAATTTAATTCTAAAAGATATGATACCTCACCTTGAGAACTTCCATTGGATTGGTCAGCGCAGTCGAAATAGCACCAGCAAACATTCCCGAAGCAATTTTAACTAAAACATTGGACGAGCCAAAAGCAAAATCACAGGCATACTTAGAGGGTTCATATAGGCCCAAGCGAAGTCCTCCATAAACAACTGACCTTGTTAGTGCAGGTGTCAAACCCTGATACAAAGACTTTGGTCCTTCATTTTTCACCGCACTTAAAAATAATTTTCCCTGGACAAATGCTCAGCTAATAAAAGTTTTGTATTATAATATGATAAGTAAGGTCTAAAGAGGAAAGGTTGTACTCAGCAAACTACCATTCCACTCAAAGGACCTTTCTGGCCAACAAGTTGCATTTGTAGCCTTACTTTCAATACATCTGCATGGTAAGTAGGAACTTGTTATATAGATATTTTAATGATCTTTTACTTCTCAACATATGCAAGGGCTCAATCTCATGTGATCTTTGCCAACTTAAAGACGAAATTTTCATTACAGCTGTCGACTTCATTTGCAACTTCAAAAAGTTTCCAATATGGCTAGCTACGTTTGAAGTATTGCTACCCAAAAGAATAGAATAAACATCTAACTTATTACTCAAAATATATTTGCAAAGTCACATTGTTCTTTCATTTATAAATATATCAAATCAATCCTCCAAAGATATAAAGGTGCATAGACTCAAACAATCTAACACCAAAGAATAACACTTATCCAGTTTAGTTTATCATTTTAAAATACTGGAATCGTTCTCTCCTTTAGTTCTTCTACACTGAGGAGTTGACTTCAGAAGAAAAAGAAAGTAATTTCAACCATTGACGAGAAAACCAAGAAAGTGGATTCTAATAAATTGATGATTTGTTATGCATGTGCGTGAGTTTTATCACACCAACCACTGATTCTCAATTTTGAGATCTTAATTTTTATAACCGCAATACAACCACACTGACACTGAGGACAAGAATCATTCACTTCATAAAAAGTGGATCTGGATTTAGAGTTTTGAAACTTTGATACCAACCACTGATTCTCTCTTCAACGGTTAAGATCCCTCACTTTTCCAACTATATCTATCAAAATCCAACCTCTTCATATATACACAGTGCCACACTTTCTGTTAGTTGACACTATTGAATACAACTCAGTCCTTTGTCAAACTCTACTTTTATAGGACATACATGACATCAAAATGGATTTTAATGTCACATTTTTTTCCATTAAGTTGCTCCTTAAAATTGAATCAAATGTCATTGAAGGCCAAAACTAATAGTATCACTGAATGACCGATTTGAATGACCAATCCTATGCCATGTATGTCTTGTGTACTATGGCTACCCAGAAAGAAAAGAAGAACGGATTTCAAAATTGATATAGGAATACAATCAAACAAATCAATGAATTCAAATTGCAAGCATGTACAAAACAGGCTGCACAGCACTTAATGATGCAAGGAGATGGGCATAGAATAATTTGAAGGTGAAAAGACAAAAACACAATTTTGAAAACCAACATTAACTTCTAAACAGCCCTTGACACAATAAACAGAAATAGAGAAAAGAAGCACCAAACCTAAAGGGTGAGTAATTGCAGTTGCAACCGCAACGGAAAGTCCACTTGTTGCAAAGTGGTTGAAAACAGTGGAAGGTGACGCAGCCCAGCTCTGCTTCTCGTCATTTCCGGTTCCTGACACATTTTCTTCTCAATACACATCATTCAAAATTGCAACTTGATAGTGCAAAAGAAAAGGAATCTATTTTATTCAATTGCGTGGAAATGAGTTATGAAATATAGAAGGAAACATAACCTGAAAGTGCTGAATTATTGGAGGTAGAATTGCCAGACATGTTGTGGCTTTCTTCTGGTTATTGTTGGTTTGGTGGGTTGAAATGCATCAACGGATCGTTGCTCTTTGATTCGTGATTCGAATCTGGGCAAATAAAAAATGGGGTGAAGAAAAAAACCTGCACCTTCGGGTTCGGGAAAGAAAATACTACTACTACTACTATTTTTTTTTAAATATATTTTTATTCAAACATGTTTTTCTAATAGTTAGTTGTATTAATTATTTTTTTAAATTTTTTATTTAATTACATATTTTTTTTAAAAACAATAATAAATATCTGACAATAATGATGTCCAAACTTTTTCTCTTAACAAAATCTAAAAGAAACAAATAGATAAATTAAAAAAAATCTATACGTAAAGGTAAAAAAAAATTAAAATTAACACTTTGGTATTACAAAAATTGAGAGTATCCAAATATATTCTTTATGAGGATATATGGAAGATCAAAGGAATTTTTTTTTAATGTTAAAAGAATATATGTTGCTCGTGGAATCATGGTGTTTTAAAATTAAAGATTTTAAAATATTTAATGAAACAATCTTGACAAAATGAAAATGGAATTTGTTCTATCAAAATAATATATTATAGAGTGAAGTATTAGATTCAAAGCATGGTAGGTGGATAAACTTGTTGAAGGAGGAGATTACTAAAGATGCATTTACTTAGTAGAAGGACATGAGGAGAGTGTATGAAGAAGATAATCAAGTAAAATGATTTGATAATATAATGAGTTAGGGTGGAATATAGGAGGAAAATAAGATTTTGGATAGACAAAAGGGTGAGTGACAAAAGTTTAGAAAAGTTATACCTTAAATTGTTCTTAATTTTGGAACAAAAGGATGAGGTGCTTAAAAAAAAGGTTTTTGGGAGGGCAACAAGTGGATATGGAATCTTAAATGGAGAAGAAGACACTTTGAATGAAAAACTAGTTTGGGGGCAATATACTATAAGCTCAACTTATAAGATTTTGCTTGGCATCATAAAGAAAACACAACAAAACAACTTTTTTGTTAATTTGCAGAGCATAAAAGCATGGTCAAAGGTTATTATTTTTTGTTTGGAGAGTCTTAAAAAATAGATTACCTACAAAAGATAGCCTTAGAAAAAGAAATGTACAACTTGATATAATCAAGATCATATGTGTCCTTTTTGTTGTATTCAAGAGGAAACATGTTCACATGTGTTGCTTATTTGCAAGAAGATTGAGGTGGTGTGAATGACATGTTATGGATGGTTAAATTTGAAAACAGTTACCCGAAAGGATTATGGATCATTTTCGGTAGTATATAATTGGTATGGAATCTAAGGAGAAAAAGGAAAAATGGAATGTCATATTATGTGTAGTGGTGAGATGTATTTGAAAAAGGGAGAATGCTTCTTTATTCAATCATAATTAAGGTGTTCCTCGTATCTTCAATATTGTAAGAAATTTTGTTTATAACTTGGTCTTGCTTAAAGTAATTGATTACTCGTTTGTATGGAATAAAGAGAAAAAAGACAGATGGAATCTCATGTAATATGCACTCGTATAGTGTATTTAGAAAAGGAGAAGTGCTTCTATATTCAAAAATGAGATGTTGGATGCATATGCACTATTACAAGAAATTTTGTTTATAAATTGGTCTTGGTTAAAACAATCGATATCTTCTTTTGATTACTCATTTGTGATGTGGTTAATAAGTCATAGAACTTGTTTATTGGATGGGGAAAATGCATGTCAATACTAAAGGATGATACTAGTGAAATGTGAGGGTAATGCATTATGCAATTTTGAGCTACTATGAAAAGGTTATAGTATATGGATGATCGTTATATAAAAAGTGTTATTAGTAAGTGTATTGTTCGTACCGCGAAGCCGAGCTCCGAGCTCGGCATCACAGCACAAGATGAGGTCGGGCACGCGCTACGCGACGTCAGCTCAGCATTTAAGCAGATCATAACTGATCTCGATGGATCTCGCTTCAGACGAGATCCACTATCTAATCTTATCATATCTTATCTCAGGCCCAAGGCCCAAAGCAATCCTAATTCACACTAAGGTACGTGTATTACTTATACGAGATTCATACTCTCACAAACACTAACTTTAGCATCGGAGTCTCTTTTGCAGGTACCACCCCCATATTGGAGCATCAAGCGTACCAGTGAAGGAGACTCACCGATCTTACCTGGCGGATCAGCTCTACAACAGATTTCCGGTAAGAAGAGTAAAATTTATGTGATTCAAAAACATGCATGTCATAATGTTGTTTGTGTAGGTTGATTACTTTAGTGGTATTTAACTAATTTGTATACAGGTTTTTGACACTCTTTTACCAATTTAATATATTATCTTTGCTATAAAAGAAAAGTGTTTGCAAAATTAAAAAACAAACAAAATACAAGTGTAGCTGCTTTACTGACGCAACTATTTGGTGTTGTTAAACATAAACCCGATTGGATATGAAACATCCTCTAATCCTATGCATACATTCCATGTCCCTCACGTAGCAACACATAAAACTAGGAGACCACTATATATATGCGTAAGCACCATTTCAGAATGTAAACCACAATAATTTTCTCAACACCACACTTCACAATTTTCTTTGACTTGAGGTTGAGTCACTACGACTGTAAACCACAACATACTTGCGAGTTCTGCATCCAATTTGTTAAAAAATATAGTTTTCTGGTGATATTATTTTCTTTTTAAATATTAATTAATCATTTGAGAAACAATTATGTAGAAAAGAAAATGTTAACTTAAAAACTTTAAGGATAATTTTAAAAAATTCAAATTATAAATAAATGTAATATGATTAATTAAATTAACCAGAACTTTAAAGGTTGCAATTTAGTTAAAAGGCTCTGAACTTTAGTTTAAATTTGTTTTTTTTATTTTGAGAAATTAATTTTGATTTTTGTCTTTATAAACAAATTTGTTTGGTTTTTGTCCTTAAAAATATAAATGATTAAATATCTTCTTTTATTTTTTGACTTTCCACATGTATTGGCAATCTTGTTTGAGACAAAATTGGACTTTAAATGTGAACATTTTTTCAAATTCAAATATCGATGTATCCAAATGAATAAATATCTTTGTAAATTCTATATATATATCCAAGGTTCGAACAAGACCTCGGCTTAGAATAAAATAAATCGTACCAAGGTTCAGACTCGACCTCGGCGTAAAGCAGAATAAATTGTACCAAGGTTCGAATTCGACCTCGGCTTTAGCCGAGTTACCTTATGTAAAATCGAGGTCGAGTTCGAACCTTAGTAGGACTTATTCCACTCTAAGCCGAGGTCGAGTTCGAACCTTGGCACGATCTATTTCACTCTAAAGCCAAGGTCGAGTTCGAACCTTGGTACAATTTATTCTGCTTTACGCCGAGGTCGAGTCCGAATCTTGGCACGATTTATTTCATTCTATGCTAACGGTCGAATTATTCACATCAGGCCAAGTTTGAGCCCCAGCAAAGCGCAAAACGCACAAGCGTAAAACACACAAGTTCAAAAACAGAAGAACTATTGAAATCTCGAAAAAATGATATATATACAACAATTTCACGAGTTCAATACATGAATTCAAAGAAAAGAAAACTAAACCAAGATATTACAAAGGCAGCCTAGGCGTCCCGGTGGCTCCGGGCTCGGAGGTACCAGGGGTGGGTGTCCCCGTTGCTGAGCAAGGGGCGCCTGCCTCTGCCTCTGTCGATAATCGTGGAAAGGGGCCGAGCTCCGAGGTCCCGACTCCCACTCCCGCAAACTCGACGCCGCCGTCTGGCTCATCGAAGGAGCGCCCTAGAGGCCAGTATCTCGCCCAGCGCTTTGTAAAGGGTTCCTCCCAGGTGCGGTTGGACCATGTGAGCGCTTCGGAGGACATAAACTCTTTATGGAGTGCGGGGGTAACCTCAGAGAAGTTCTTCTCCAGGAGTTCAGTGAGCACGACTAATCAAGCCATGATCGAGTCGACGGGGCCGGTGGGAGGTCTTGATTCTGCTGAAGTCTTCCTGTAGAGGACGATGGCCATTGTAGATCATTGGAAACATAAGTGGGCCAAGCAGCAGGAGGACTTGGTGAAGCTGAAAGGGCGAGTCCAGCCCTTAAAAGAAGAAAACAGGGCATTGGCGGCTGATGCAGAATGAGGCCGAGCTTCGGCCTACCCGGAAGGAGCTGGAGAGGGTCCAGAAGTCCTTGGAGATTGCTCTGAGGTCTAATGAGACCTACGCTGCTCAGGTTCGTGAGTTGCAGGAACTCTCCAGCTCTTCCCGGGCTCGGGCGCGCGCCTTGGAGGACGAGGTCACCTTGCAGAAGGCTGAATTGGTGGTGGCGGCCGAGAAGCGTCTTTGCAACGAGGTCCTTCTCGGTGGGAAAGAAGAGGAGGTTGTCGCTTTGAAGGTGGACCTCGTGAAGCTGGAGGAGGCGAAGGCGGGGCTGGAGAAGAAGCTTGAGGAAACTGAGCGGGCTGTCATGTTTGAGCACAATAGGGGATTCCTCAAGGCAGCTCGCCAGGCGAGGCTTCTCGTACCGGGGTTCGACCTCTCCGCCATGCATGTGGAGAAGGAGGTCTGCTTTGGGAAGCTGGTGAAGGAGGACGACCTCGAGGATAGCTTAAGTGAAAACGCCTCCGCCTAGGGCGCTTTTGTAATATCTTAGTTTAGTTTTCTTTTCTTTGAATTCATGTATTGAACTCGTGAAATTGTTGTATATATATCATTTTTCCGAGATTTCAATAGTTCTTTTACTTTTGAACTTGTGTGTTTTGCGCTTGTGCGTTTTGCGCTTTTTGGGGGCTCAAACTTGGCCTGATGTGAATAATTTGTCTTGAGGTTCGAACTCGACCTTTAGCTTAGAATGAAATAAATCGTACCAAGGTTCGGACTCGACCTCGGCGTAAAGCGGAATAAAATGTGCCAAGGTTCGAACAAGACCTCGGCTTAGAATAAAATAAATCGTACCAAGGTTCAGACTCGACCTCGGCGTAAAGCAGAATAAATTGTACCAAGGTTCGAATTCGACCTCGGCTTTAGGGTGAAATAAGTCCTACCAAGGTTCGAACTCGACCTCGATTTTTATTATTATTATTATTATTATTATTATTTTGTGTTTATTTTTAATTTCTATCATAAAAAAAGTTTCATTAAATAATGACATAGCAAACATACCATATAATAATGTGTCATGTGCCTCTCAAATAAACATATGTTTCAATAACTAAAATGGTAAAAATTATTTTATGAAAACTAAAAAAACAAAATACTAAAATATAGGAACTTAAATAACCATAATTTTATGAAGATAGACTAAAAAATCAAGATACCAAATTATGAGGTTTAGGATGATATTTAAGTTAAATTAAACTAAAACAAGAAAACAAAACTCCTCATCCATTATCATAATTGAAAACCTTTTGTTTTGTCCCTCCATAATCCCAATTCTTAATCACATTTGTTATCATAGGTAACAATTCAACTCATAATCTAAACTCATTTAGCACAAACATAACTCAACTATGAAAATTGAGGACAACAAAAATGTCATGATGATAACTTCATGGTCTTTTTTTTTTTTTTTTTTTGTCGTTTGACAATGACAATACTAGCCATATGGTACTTTTTTCCAATGCAATATACCATTGTCGAAGAAAAATCATCGTTGTTGTTAGGGGTGGGCAAAATTAACTGAACTGAACTGAACTTATAAAAACTATATTGAACTTAAAAATAGTTGTCATGAACTGAACTGAACTGAAAATTAGATTACAAAAACTAAACTGAACTGTTTTTATTCTATTAAACTGTACTGTACTGAACTATACTGAATTATACTGAACTATAATATAAACTAAACTGAACTGCTATACACTTTAATTTGTTTCTGAACTGCACTATTTTTGAACTGAACTATTTATGAACTGCTTCTAAACTATGCCACCAATTAATGAACTGTTGATGAACTGCTTCTAAACCCTAAACCACAGTTTGTATACAAAAATCCAAACACATTCAGTGGTTACCTTGATGTGACCATCATGTGCTATCAATAAATTGTCTTTGAATGAATTTTCACTCGATATTGTAAGATGACAATCTCCAATATTATTATACTCGAATTGGTCATTGACATAGTTAAGTGGGCGGTGGCTGGTGAATTAGGGATTCCAATTTCGCATAGAAAAGGGTAGCGTGTGTGCGTAGTTTAATTGCAATTTGCAACCCGTGCCGTGGTCGTGCAGTCGTGCGTGATTTTATTTTTTAACATGCAGTTAATTTTAGTTAACTAAACTGTAACTTAAATAAGTTCAGTTTTTTAAAACTGAATTAAAAAATAGTTTAGTTTAGTTTTATTTTAAATAGTTATAGTTTTTTAGTTTAAAATAATTTAGTTATTAATAGTTTTAGTTAAGTTAAGTTAATTTTGCCCAGCCCTGGTTGTTGTCATATAATAAGACAAGAAGAAAAAAAGAGGTTGCATTGTTTAGTGTCAGAAATATAATGATAATAATGAAAACATAAAACAAATTACGAAAAATTGACATTTTTGCGTTTGTGAAGAAGTATTTGAATTTGGTAGATGAGGAACAAAAAATTACAATACAAATAAGAGGTGGAGGAAAATTTGTGGCCAGTGAAAATCGCATATTATATTATTAAAAGAATTTGGTTATAAATTCCAATTTACCTCAAATATATTACATTTTCACATCAATGACATGAAAATACTCTTTAACTAGTCTTATAATAAAGACTAAAATATATTTTTGATTATTTATCATATAATAATTTTTTTGGTCATTTATTTTTAAATCATATATTTTAGTATTTTTCAAATGAGTTAACATGATCTTAATAATTTTTTTTATATTGAATTGTTGTGTTACAAGACTTGATTAATGTTGGAACCGACAATGTCATTAACATAATAAAAATAAAGTAAAAATGTGTCTCATAAACAATTAAATTTTTTTTAATAGGTGAATACAATGAAACAAAATATTGTAATAAAACAAAAACTAGTTAAAAAGGGTTGGAATGTCCCAAAATAAAAAAAATGATAAATATTTTGAAAGGATAATATTAGTATAAGTTTGAAAATTAAATAATATTTTTTTTAAATAAAAGAACAAATTTCGGCATATAATAAATTTTAAATGAACTTATCTTAGACTAAATATATTAATTATATATAATATTAATTTTTATTTAATTCACCCATATATATATATATATATTAAATACAAATATTTATCTTATGATAAATTCTAATTAAATATAATAAATATTTATATCGTAGATTGCACATACTTAAATTACTAGGTAATGTTAAACATCAATAATTTGATATTGAAGAAGTGTTTAATGAGTGACAGACATAGACATCATGTGTGTTTGGTTTATTGTTTTTACGCTTTCCAAGTCAGTTAAATGAAAAAAAGAATATGAGAGCATAGGTTGGAATCCTCTCAAGTCTCAACGGATATCCAAACACAGTCATAGTCCCTCCATTAATAGTTTTGTTGAACTTTACAAACAAAAGTGATTATGTGGCTGTCAGAAAAAAACAAAGTGATTATGTGAGTAACAAGTCAAGTAATTGACATAGCATTCTACAATTTTTACAAAGAAAAACAGTTCGGAACAACAATTTAGTGCCCTAGCTAAGACCTAACCCGTCAACTGCTACCTCTCCGCTGACCGTTTGCCCACCCACCGGCCACCGCCCTTCGCCGTCGACCCACCGGGGAGATTAAGGTTCTACGACCCAACTAACCATATTTTTTAATTTTTTACTTTCCCTTTGGAGTTTGTTCACGTGCTGTGCTTTGTTTAAATGATACATTGGGCACTTGCTGAGATATCATTTGTTCACTTAATATTGATGTTAGTTGTTTTTGTTTCAGTCTCCATCTGCCTCTGGTATGGCCACATTAATCCCTTTTTAACCGAATTAGCCGAATTACACATAAGAAATCAGGTTCAAAGTCAAGGTCTATAATATATGGATAAAACATAAGTGGCACAACCATAATGTTAAGGAACGAAATAACCAGAAGTACTGGAATTCTAATCTTTGAGGCTGTTTTGCTTTGTTGTGTGCTTCTGCTTTTGCTTAATTCTCCTTTCATCTGGGTTTAGTTTCAATTTTCCGTTTTGAATTTATGTCCACTATCTTATGGGTTAAAATCAATGTTCCATAATTTGCTTGGACAGTAGGAGCTTGTTTGGATGGGGGGTGAAACAGGGAAGTCGTTTGGTTTGGGATGTGACCCAGTGGTAGGATCATTATCTTCTTCGAAGAAGAGAGAATACAGAGTCACCAATCGCCTCCAAGAGGGAAAGCGCCCTCTGTATGCTATAGTTTTCAACTTCATTGACTCCCGCTACTTCAATGTTTTTGCCACAGTTGGTGGCAATAGGGTATCCCCCTCTCTTTCCTCCAACACCCCCTTTTCATTTCAAACCCCAACTTTCAACTTTTAATGCTTTTTCTTCTTAATTCCCCAGGTTACTGTTTATCAATGTCTTGAAGGAGGAGTTATTGCTGTTTTGCAATCTTATGTAGATGAAGATGTACGTCAACAGTCAGTCGCACTCTACTCTCATTTCTTTGTAAACTTTTGTTCTGTTTGAGTTTCATTTATCTAGGATGTGTGTAGAAAACTGCTTCAATTCTTATTGTTTTTATGTAGACCAGAAGGACGAGTCTTTTTACACAGTGAGTTGGGCATGCAATGTTGATGGGACTCCATATGTTGTGGCTGGAGGAATCAATGGGGTAATCCGAGTCATTGATGCTGGCAATGAGAAGATACACAAGGTATTTTGGTTACAGTAATGACCTGCTCATACTCTACTTGAAGGATTATATTTTTTGTATTCAGGAGGCATTTATAAGAGCTTAAATGGTTTATTTTATGATGTAAGCACTTAAGCAGGTAGGTATTCGATTAAATGAATCATTTTTTACTTATTTCAATTGTTAGATGGTGATGCTTATCAAAATAATTTTAGGAGCATTTGGAAGAGCTTATCCTTGTTGAAGTCCAGTTTGAGCATAGGAAAATGACTCTGGAATTTTACTAATTACTATAAATTCTTTTTAGTTTATTTCACTAACTTAACAGAAAAGCCTATAAAAAAACTATTTTTTAGCTTAATTTAGTAACCTTCATAATTTAGTTCATTGATAAGCTCTTTATTGAATCAGTGCTTAATTAAGTTGTTCACCTTGATGTGTCCCAAGTTCTTATTGAAGGAGTGCTTAATTAAGTTATTTACTCAAGTGAGCCTTTACTAGTGTTGGTTGTCCTGTTACTCTAGAGTTTTGTGGGAATTACTGCAAGCTAGATGTCTTAAATATATATTTTTACGCAATAATGTTGAAAATGTATTGGTTGTGTACTAATCCCTGCCGCTATCTGACATGCTGCCCTCCACACTGCAGAGTTTTGTTGGCCATGGAGACTCTGTAAATGAAATCAGAACTCAAACATTAAAACCATCACTTGTGATATCTGCAAGCAAAGTAAATGGCTTCTCCATATTTTCACTATTTAAAGAATCTCTTGTTTTTCATTCAATGACATCTTAGGTTGACCAGGATGAATCTGTCCGGTTATGGAATGTTCATACCGGAGTATGCATTTTGATATTTGCTGGAGCTGGTGGACATCGTAATGAAGTCTTAAGTGTTGTAAGTTTATTCTTCATCTTATGTTTCTCTCCCTTTTCCCCACTTAATTACCCATTCTTAGTGATAATATAAGATTTGAATTTTGGAGATTAGCCCAACTAACTTTTTGTTGCTTACTGTAGGATTTTCATCCATCAGATATATATCGCATTGCTAGCTGTGGCATGGATAATACTGTAAAAATATGGTCTATGAAGGGTGAGATTTTTAGTTTTATGTTTGTTGCATTGCTGCTATTATATCATTGGTCGCTTTTGTTCGTCTTGAATCATCTAGTCAAGTTTCTCTACATTTCCCATAATGTAATGGATGTTACCATGGTCTGAGAAAAGATAAAAATTAAATCAGGCAATATTACAGAATAGTTTGTTTCATAAATAATTATTAGTGTTCTTGTCATTGATAAAAAAGAGACTGGACCGGCTAGTTTGACCAGACTATAAGTAAAATAGTAGTACGGTCACTTGTCTATAGTATATACAAGTACAATCCATAAAACTTGTGGCCGACCAGTTGCCCTGGTTCAAAATCATGAGTAGAAAACCAGTTTAAAGTTTTTCTTTTCTTCTAATTTTATATTTTTTTTAATCAAAAAAGCATTTTTTTAGCCAAATTATATTTTTTTAAACCTTGCAGAACCTAAATATGGTCCTATGCTAATTTAATTTTTTACCTAACTTTATTTCTCATGACTTTTTTTTTATAGTTTTTTTTACTCAGTATATTATATAATATTAAATATATACTTAATCATCATTGGTTTGATCACGATTGGACCAATGAATCATGAATTAGTGTCATAACCAATTTAGTGACCAGTTCAGTTTTTTAAACATTGGTTTCTTTCTGCCATGTAAACACTATTTGGTTATCAGATTCAGTAAATGAAAATTTGTAAAAGAATGTATTACTAAGAACCATTCTCAACACTATTTGATTCGTTATAATTCAGTTTCCTGTCAACAGCATAAATTCTGGAAGTTGTTGTTTTTTGAAATGATAATACAGCTAATGGACATTGCATAACCTCTTAGCATTTGCAATTCTGTGCAACTGTTTGACTGTTTAATGATATTGCAATTTGTTGATACTTTTTCATGATGCAACTTTATTATCTGAATATGGTTTATTTTACTGGTTATGTATTTTTTCTAACTCTATCCAGTTAGAATGATATCCCCTCTCTCCTAACACAAAAAAAGACTGATACTAACCAATGAAGATACTAGCAAGAACATGAATGAAACTATTGGTTCTAGGTTGGTTGATAAGATGCCAGTCTGAAACATCATATCTATAGCTATTTCATCGGTTATAATGAAATAAAGGATCAAGAAAAAAGTCATTTCCCACTAGGTGGGGTTGGCTACATGGATCAAATGACACCATTGTCTCCATGTTTTCAGAAAGGCTATTAACGGTTTCTTGGTCTCTTGTCTTCCTTCACCTTTGTTTATCAATCTATCCCATCATACATATAAGTATAAACACTCTTAATTGATTTTTGATAAGTTGTTTTTGGTGTCTTTGATATTTGTTTCATGATATCATGGAAGCTGCAAGTAACAATTGCTTTCGTAATCTCTTGGAAAATTCTTGTGTGGAAAATGATGCCCCAAACTGTTTATGCACCGAGTCAATTAAAATAGGTAGTTGAATTGATGAATTTATAGTTGGGTGCCACCACCATGCAGCAGTGTCCTGTGCATGAACCAAAATATACAACACTTATTCATGTGAAAAGTTTCAGTGTACCATTTGTATTATTGTCCTTTTCATTTTAATTCATCATGTCTGTCTTGTTACTGCAGAGTTCTGGACATATGTAGAAAAATCATTCACATGGACAGATCTTCCCTCTAAGTTTCCCACAAAATATGTCCAGTTTCCTGTAAGTAACAGTTTATTTTTGGTACATATCATCGGGCTCTTCTAATTCCTAATTTCTAATTCCACCGATACATAATTTCAGGTATACAATGCTTCAGTTCATTTAAATTATGTTGACTGTAATAGATGGCTGGGTGATTTTATCCTCTCAAAGGTGAGTGATTGCTCTGTATATGTCTGCTACCTGGTGGACTGTTAGGTTTGTTGTGAAGGAAAGAACTGTTCCCTTGCTGGAATATATATGACTTCTACTAATATCATAATCTTCCTGATTAGCAAATAAAAACAATAAAATTAAAGAAGAAAAAAAAGGATAACTATTTCTAAAACGCAGCACTTCCGCCCTTACTAGAAAAATGGTTTTCAATTGGAATAACTGGTTTAGGGTTTGGAAATGCTGTGCTTCAATGGTATCAACTTCATGGATCTGTTGTAAAATTAGTAGCTTCTAATACTTCTTATTAAAACACTAAATTAGTTATTGAAAATTTTTATTGTATCTCTTGGGTGCTCATGCATGCGTTTAAGGATTTTCTTTGGTAGACAGGCAGCGGCAGCTTTGTTGTGTTGATGTTTCTATATTTAATGAAGTTCCTTTTACCCAAAAAAAATTTAATAATTGGGAGATAATTAGATAAAACGTTTTAAAGGTTTATAGGCATGTCCTCCATTTTTAATTTGAGTTTTCTCTGATTCACGAAGTTACTTACCAATTCCTTAAGTGATGTATTATATGTTACGTTTTCAGAGTGTTGACAATGAAATTGTCTTGTGGGAACCTAAAGTGAAAGAACAAACACCGGGGGAGGTTAGTTATAATTATCTGTTTCTAATTCTGTAATGTTTAACTTTTAATCAGCCTCAGTTTTTTTAATTTTTGTGCGCGTGTGGTTGTTTAGGGTGTAGTTGACGTCCTTCAGAAATACCCTGTTCCCGAGTGTGATATATGGTTCATCAAGTTTTCTTGTGATTTCCATTTCAACATGATTGCAGTAGGTAAGCATATCTAATTACATTTTTTTACATTGATTATTTTCTCTAGTATGGGCCGCTTCAGTCCTGCAGTGACAGGAACTATGTGACACAATTTGTTCATAACAGACTTCTGGCAATTTGTAGTTTGGTCTAGTTCTTTTGCTGGCAAGTTTGTAATTCCAAGATTTTTAGTTTTATTTTATATTGACTATTTTATTTTCTGGGTCTGCCAGGTAATAGGGAAGGGAAGATTTTTATTTGGGAGTTGCAGTCAAGTCCTCCTGTACTTATTGCCAGGTCCATTTATCTAACAAGAATGTCTCGATGAATTTTTATTGATTTAAATATGTTTTTAGTCTTTTAAATTTAGGATAAATTTGTTTTTGATTCTTCAAATTTAAAATTATTATTTTTAGTCTTTATAATTTTAAAAAAATTTATTTTAGTCTCTCAGGCTACTAATATTATATCTAAAAGTGACAAATTAAGTAGTTATATACTATCAGTTAGGTTTAATATAATGTTTTCGCAAAGAAATTAATAAGTAGATTTTATACTATAGTATTTTATAGATTCTTTAATAAAATATAAATATAAAGATTAAAATAAGATTTTTTGAAATAACAAGAATTAAAAAAATAATTTTAAATCTTAAACTAAAAAGATTAGTTTTAATTTTTAAGAAATAAAAAAAAAAAATTTAAATTTGAGAGATTAAAAATATATTTAAGTCATTTTTGTTTTATGAAATTCTTATAGTGAGCTACCTTGTTCAGGTTGTCACACCCTCAGTCAAAATCTCCAATCAGGCAGACTGCTACGTCCTTTGATGGAAGGTAATTCTTCATGTATTGATGTTGTTGCTCATAATTTTGATGCAATATTGTTTTGGTTTTAATTGTAGTCTTTTCTTGTGTTATGTTGTAGTACTATACTGAGTTGCTGTGAGGATGGTACAATATGGCGCTGGGATGATGTTACAAACTCCTCCTCAACCTAACTTATCTGTTATACCAATCTGATGTACCTATATCACTGATTAAATCATTAGTTTAGCTTGTGAATCCATGAATGCTTCCTCAAGCAAAGTTAAATGTTGTTCCGAAGTTATGTGTGATTCCTATATCTCGTTTCTGACATTGGGCAAAGGAGAAAGCCCTCTACTACTGTATCTACTATGTACTGACCTTTTCAGAAGAGAAAATATTGTCAATGTCTTCACTTCCTGGAAATCATCATACCATTTTAGAATATTATAAAAGGAATAACTAAGGCTATGTTTTTTTTGTTTTTTTTTAGTTCGTCCTTGGAGTATCCACTACTGATAACAGTGATTAATTTCCTCGCTACGTTGGAGGTATCTCAAAGAGTGGGATAGCTAGTTCCAAGATTTAACGCGACTGCATATACAAGACAGGATTCGAACTCCAAGGACTAATCTCCTCTATTTTGTTTGTTTGAATGGGCAAGCTTTTAATTTAAAATACACTTTTCGAATCAATTTTGTTCCCAAAGCAAAAGATTTTGGCCCAAACTCTGTTTGGCTTTGGTAGTCTGTGCAAGCAATATAATGTGTTCAAACAGTTATAATCACAATTTAGACTCCAATTCTCGAAATACTTCAGACAATTGTTCTGTACTTACTCTAAACTCAAATATGAGCAAATTAATTAATTTATATTAAAATAGTTAAATCATGAATTTCATTAATTTCAATCACTTTTTGTTAATTAGAATTTGATATCAAGATTAAAAGAAAAAGTCATTAAAATAGAATCTTAATTAAACGGAGGGTATTTTAGAAATGATATCATTAAATAAGATAAAATCAATTAAGATTTAATTATATTTTTGTTTACTATTTTCATGATTTTTTTTTATATCTATTTGAGTTAACAGAGAGTATAGTCTTTTTAGACATAATTATAAAAAAGAAATCAATGATAAGTACGAATGTTACTTTTTTTTTATTTATAAAAATAATCACATTTAAAAATCAATGTTTTTTTATTATTATTTAAATTATCATCTCGTTAGTTGATGGAAAACTTCCATTTTATGAGAGTTTGTTTGAATTTAAAATATTTATTTTCTTTACTAAACTATAAAATGAAAAGAGTAAAAGTGCTTATATCTCACGATAACATTTTCAATAATTTTTTTCAATTCCTCCTTTTTTAATATTTGTCTACTTTTAATTTTAAATTAAATTTTAATATTTTAAAAATTATCAATATATGTTATAATATAAATTATTTATTATAAATCTATAAAATAATTTAAATATTTAAAAATATTTATTTATATATTTATTATTATAAATTATAATTATATAAAATAAATATTTATTTTGTACATTTAACAATACTAATTATTAGCTAGTTATGATTTATTTATATTTTAAATTATTATACTTGATCTCCTGGTATCATTGTTTTGTACTTTTTTTTTTATAGGACATATAAAAAAATAGCGGTTACATGCTAAATTTAATATTTTCACATATATATTGTAATGATATGATTTTCTTTTGAGTATAATGGTAATACATTGTTAGACAGTTAATCAATTATAATCTATTATAAATAATAAATTTCTTCATTTTTATAGTAATTATCTTAAAAATTATTAAAAATTCAAAATTTTAATTAGTTGATTATATAAAACTTTTTATATTGACGTTATATCACCGTTAAACACCTTTTGAGGCACGCTAATATTGGTTAACATTAGTTCTTTGAGGATTAACATAGGCCCCTTGAATTGGAGACACCTTGTTAATGTTTTAAAACATTATTAATTTACTATTAAATTTTGTTTTTGAAAAAGTAATACTACCGATAGAATTCTTGTAAGACATGACTTCTACTAGTCTTATGCATTGCCTCCAGTTGACCCATATGCCATAATATGTAGTTAAGAATGTTACATCTTAGGTCTTAAATCCACTTTTAGTGTTATATGCAAATACAATTCTAACTCTAACATTGTGTTTGATTTAGGAGACACTGACAAAATACAAGGAAGAGCGAAGAAATAGCTGTAAAGAAATAAGATATATGTGATTTGATCCTTAAAATATGATAAAACTAATCGATAAATTTTTTAAAGATTTTTTTGTGGTATCTAAATCTTTAAATTTTAATTTTATTATATAAGTTAGTTCTTTTATAATATTCAGTTATTAACTTTGTTAATTTCTTAAATAATAATATGTAATTGTTATATTAACACCTATTTTGTCTTTTAATTGGTTATTTTTTCTTTTAATTATTTAATATGAAATATAATACAATATTTTAGTATTTTTCAATTAATAATAAATATTTTGTCATGTTTAAATATTCTAGTCATGAGTGTTATAGTTAAAATGAAATGTTGTTGGATTTTCCTAGGATTGTTATAGTTGAATTTTTCTATTTTGGTTATCCATAATTTCTTTGTCTATTTTGACTATAAATTTAAGATTGTAAACCTTAAATTATAGGAGTTGAGATTTAACATAATGAGTACTTGATTTGAAATATCTTAAGTAATGAAACGTCAATTGAATAGGGGTATTTTAGCTATGTTTAATATATTGTAAAACTCCTCTAGTAAAATGTGGAAGAACTTAATGATAATGATCTTTTTTACTAGGTTGATTAACGAAGATGATGACGACTCTAACATTATTGGCTTGTCAACAGTGTTTCAATGATAATGGTCTTCTCTTAGAAATGAGTATCGACCCTCGCACAATTTCACACATGAAATGGAGTATGAAAATGAGAATAAATGAAAAGAAATAAATCAATCAAAATTCACTTCAATTATTTTTAAATTAAATTAAAAATTAAATCTTACTTTGTCATATGTATAAATTTACTTAGTTTATAATTATGAAAGAGAATACGTGTCAACAAAATTATTGATTGAAAATGAAATTAACATAGTTATTAATTGGATATAATAAAAAAGGACTAACATAATAATATTAAAATTTATAGATGAAATGTTGCAAAAATATTTTAAAAAATCTATCAACCATCTCTACATCTTTTAGAAACTAAACTAAGTGTTTTCTCTTTTATCTTTCTTAAAAGTATTTATTTATAAAAAAAAACTTATTCACTTTTATCTTTCTTAAAAGTATTTATTTATAAAAAAAACTTATTCACACAAAAATTAAGGGGGGTGTATTGGTTTAGGATTTCGTAGGATTCCGATCTAGGGGGGGGATGGCGTTATAATTGTGGTATATCATTTGGATTTTTCAGGCATAAGCTATAGTATTTTGAACTCTCCTAATGTGTGGCATGATCTATTTAAACGTATAAATTTATTTCACATGTCAGATTCATTGAAGTAAGTCCAAGAATAAGCATGATTTTTTTTTTAAATGCAATCTACATCGGTTTTCTTGAGAACCGATGTAGATTTAAGCTTAAATCTACATCGGTTTTTCAGAACCGATGTAAAAATGTATACATTTTCTACGTCGCTCTATTCTACATCGCTTTTAGAACCGATGTAAATGCCTTTAGAGAACCCATGTAAAATATGCATCTTGTAGTAGTGGATTTGAGGCTGAAATGGCTTCATTTCCACCTTTCCTTCCATTTTAATATTAATATGCTCATTTTCTGTCTAGATAGTAGTTACATACTAAGCCTTAAGGCTGCCATATAATATGTTTCATCTTATATGCTTCAAAAATTTAGGTCATAAGCATAATTTATAGGCTACAAAACTATCACTACTAGAAAAACACTGTTTAGCATCGCTATATTTACATCGGTTATATTAGAACCGATGTAAATCATAAACGCGGTGACAAACTTGTAAATAAATAGAAAATGCAAACATATTTACATCGGTTGGGAGGAGAAATAATGTAAATATGAGCAATTCTACATCAGTTTTATTATTGACCGATGTAGAAATTGAATCAGGAAGTTGTTCTACATCGGGTTTGCTTATGACCGATGTAGAAGTGAGACTCTAATATGTGCCCCGTGAACACCCTGGTAAAGCATACCCTTTCATCTCACAATTAGGGCTTCTCCTTTCCATGGGCAACATCTTAAGTAGCGACGCTAACCATCGCTGCCGCCACACTAGAGCTCTAAGGCGGAGCCACCCCCGCTGCCTCTGCCAGTCATGCCACAGTAGCTTAGAGTGAAATAAATCGTACCAAGGTTTGGACTCGACCTCGGCGTAAAGCAGAGTAAATTGTACCAAGGTTCGAACTCGACCTCAGCTTAGAGTGGAGTAAGTTCTACTAAGGTTCGAACTCGACCTTGATTTTACGAAGGGTAACTCGGACTACGGTTCGAACTCGACCTCGAGTTAAGAGTAATATGGATTACATCAAGGTTCGAACTCGACCTCTGGTTTAAGCGAAACGTATTAAGGTTCGAACTCGACCTTGTTTAAGGGTGAGATACGTCGGTGTAAACGTATTGTGCTAAGGTTCGGATTCGACCTCGGATTCAGCATAAACCATCTCATGGTAAAATAATGCAAAATTGAGAAATTATGCATGGAAAGGAATGAATTACTTTATTGATTGTATATATGTGCCTCGTTAAAAACCCTCTCAGCCAAAACCCATTTTTCTATTTTTTGGGACAAAAAGCTGAGGCGGGAAATGAGTGCACAGCTCATTCTTACAAGTTTAGCTGAAATAGAATTTTAGATGTGTGGCGTTCCAAGTCCGTGGATCGATAGTTTTATGTTTTTATTCTATAATAACATTTATTTCTTATAGTATAAACAACTACTTATTATTATAGACACTTAATTGTATACCTTTTTATTTTATTATGTTTTTATTTAGCATATATTTTAACTTAAAATTCTGTCATCATAATTATAATTGTTTTTATTTTGTCTAAATAAAAATATTTTTTTCACTTTATTTATACATTTCCAATTTCACATGATAAGGGTTTTTTTTTTTTTTTTTTTTTTTTATAATTCTTTTAAACCTTTATTTAAATTTAAAAAATAAAGTTACAAAATAAAAAACAAAAAAAATATAATTCATATAATCTCATTTTTTGTTCACCTTAATTTTATACAGATTCTTTTGTTGAAACTCAGACAAATAAAAACAAAAACAATTTAGAATAAAAAAAGAGCAAAAATACCCATCAAATCAAATCAAATACAAAATAGTAAACGATTAGCTACGGTAATTTGCATCCAGAAACTTCGTGAGTCTGGGCACTGCGTCTATGCTTTAATCGACGACTATTTTTCTTTTGTTCCCAAATTCAAGCTCAAGTTATTATCGTCATTCATTCCTCTTTTTCAAATTTAGGGTTTTAACTTTTTCTTCTTTCATTTGATAATTTGCTCCACTGCTAGGGTTTTCGGCAGGATCCATCCACATTGAAACAGCCATGCCTAGGTACATTGACTGACTTCCTTCGTGGTTGAAAAATTTTCTATTCAGCTTTCATTGAACCCACCGTATTTAATTTCTGTTCATGCAATTTTGCATTGCAGGTACTACTGTGATTACTGTGACACCTACTTGACCCACGATTCTGTAAGTTTTTCCCTCGCTGTGTTGCCCTTTTACTTTTAGTTAGTTTAGTCTAGTGAGTTAGGTGCTGTTAGTTTTACCAGTAAATGTATTTGAAAATAGTTTATTGTTTCAATCATCGTCATAGCCAGCAAGAAATTCTCCACAGCAATAATAGTTTGCTATTGCAAACTGTATTTGAAGTGTTTCCTTTGTCATGTGGTATTCTTACGTGTGCTGGCCTTTTTATTATGTCTCTGGTTTTGTACATAAACCTCCCAAATCCTCAGTTTTTACTTAAATAAATGTCTATTTGAGAATAATTTGGGATATGAAATGATTAAAATGGTTCGGGTTCTGGAGATGTCTTGGAAATTTGAAGGATTTTGTGGGAAGTCCATCCAGGGTTTTAAGGAGGGAGAAAATTTGTGACTTTCTGATTTTGGGCAAAAGTTAATGTTTTCTTAGGGAGTATTGATTATAAGAGGGTTTAGAATGATTTAATCAATTCAATCTGTGTAAATTTCTAGTTGAATACAAGGATTGTAAGGTTTTAAGAAAAAGAACACTCATGAACGGATTGTATTGTGGCAAATTAACAATAAAAAGAATTGGGGGAATTAGCTTTGATAAAATTATTGGTGGACCAAGTCACACGTAAATTACAGTAGAGGGAACAAAAGTGCACTTTAACTGTTATTGTTCATGAAGGTTTGTCAGCCTCACATCTACGCTGGACATTAATATGTTGCTAATTTTCTTTTTGTCATATTGCAGCCATCTGTTAGAAAGCAGCATAATGCAGGTTACAAACACAAGGTACCATGAATGTTTCTCACTTCTTGAAATAAATGCACTACAGTGTACTCTGTACTCATGACATTTAATATATTTTCATGCCTTCAGGCAAATGTGAGGACCTACTACCAGCAATTTGAAGAACAGCAAACACAAAGTTTAATTGATCAAAGGATCAAAGAACATCTTGGGCAAGCTGCAGCATTTCAGCAGGTTGGTGTGGCTTATAATCATCTAATGGTTCAGAGGCCTAACCTTCCTCCTGTTTTGCCACCACCAAGATTGCCTATTCCTGGAAACGCACAAGTACCTGGAAGCCAACCACTAATGCCAGGGATGAGACCACCTGTCTTTCCTAGACCAGTTCCTGGTGCACCAGGTGAATTTGATCTTGCCCATTCCTTTCACAACTTCCATAAAATTGCCATGTCCTCTTGTTGAAACATTCAATCTGGCTTGGCCTGTCATATTCATGTTTTTGCATTTTACATGCAGACATGTGTGGTTCTTTCCTTTATTCTTGTAACAATGGTTCTCATGATGCATATCCCTACTGCTAACCACAATTTTTTTTTTTTTTCCGGTTTCTGTCATTGCAATTTCCTTGTTATTTAAATTTCCTTTTAAATATATGGTACTCCTTTCTCCAGCTTTTCTGTATCAAAAAACTCCATTATTTCGTTAAATAAATAAAATGTTTTGGGCAAGGAAACTTGTATATTTTTTTTAATCTGTTTCTTTAGTTAGAATTTTATGTCTAAAGCTGTAATCTTCTATGTAATGCTGAAAGTTCTGGAAAAATTGGTATCAAGTTCAAGCATTATAAACCAGTTCTTTTATTACTTGATATTTGATGTAAGCATTTTTCAATTGGAGTTCACAGGATATGCTTCTGCACCTACCATGCCTCCAATGTTACCTCCACCTGGTGCACCCCAGGTATCAGGTCAACTGAATACCATGCCAAGGCCCCCTTCATTAGCTCCCCCTCCAACAGTTCCAGGAAGCACTACTACACCAGCTTCCAATGGTGCTCCTTCTATGGTATCATCAGCAATGTTTCAAGCCAACCCGCCAGCACCATCATCTGGAGGTTATGATAATTACAATGCCAGTGCTCAAGCACCTGAGGGCAATCACTGACCTGGTCAAACTGGTATGTTATTTATATTGATTATTGAATTTTACACTAATACAAATATTCAATACTTGTTCAATAAAGTTTTGTTTCCTTTTCTTAGTTATTTTCAACTTTAATTCAGAGAGAAAGCATGGTACTTGCTCGGAACAAGCATTCATTGAATTTCTACTAATCAACATTCTTTTGCATTTATTTGTGTTATGCAGTTCTCTATGCATAATTCTATCTCTGTTGGAGTCTTATGACTAGAGCTATTACTGTTCTCCCTACCAGCTGTTCGTCAAATGAGGACTTGCCATTTTGGTCATATAGAGTAATCGTTGGTATGTAGCATGTCAAGCATCTTGAACGCAAAAAATATTTTTATAAGTTACATTCATGGTCCTAGATGGAAGATTTTTATATTGAGGTGCTAATTGCTAAAACTTTTCTGACATGACTTGTTGATAGTTTCTATTCTGCAATTAATTTATTTTAATCTTTTATTAGTGAAAAATGTTGTACTGTAAGTTTGAGAAAAAAATCATTATTTTATCATGTGTTATTGACTCATTCCTAAATGCATTGCATGTTAAATCAACGACAAAAACAAAAGTCTTATCCCACTAGGTGAGGTTTGCTATATGGATCACATGATGCCATTTGCTGCTATCAAAGACCAAATAAGGATAGTATTCATTATAAGATCCTTTTAACAACTTCCTTAGATGTCCTTGGTCTTCCTTTCCTCCTTTTCAATAATCTAAATCCATCGAATTCATTCTCCTCATTAGTGCCTCCGTTGCTCTATCTATATGTGTTTAAACTACCTTAATTGATTTTCTATCTTTTCTTCAATTGGTGTCTCACCAATATCTTATACAATTATTTTGTATTTTATCCTTTCATTCTGAGGTGAAACATCCTTCTTAACATCAACCATTTTTTCTACTCCAATCATTTTTCTCTTGTTTCCCTTTAAAGCCCAATATTTACTGCCAAGTCTGCCATAGAGTATAAAGCCAGACATATAACAATGTGATAAAATTTTCCGGAGTTTGGTAGGTATTTTACGGTTACTAATAAGTACTCTCTCTCTTTTTTTCTTTTCCTATTTTAGCCATCCTTCTTGTATCTTACATGACATCCTCACTAATTTTCTCATCATTTTGAAATGTTGATCTAAAACATCTAAACTTAGAAACTTGTGGTATGCCATTTTTTGTCCTTTTTTACTTTTAAGTAATAATTCCTCTCATCTCTTCTTAAAATTGTAATGCATATATTATGTCTTACTCCAACTTGAGCAACAAAAAGTTTTGTTTACAATGTTTGTTTGTAAAGCTCAAGTTTAAAGAGAATTGTTTATCTTGATTTGTAAGAACATCTAATAGTAAATTAAACAAGGACTTAAGGTTGAGTCTTGATATAATCCTATCCCTATAGGTGTATTTCATGCTGCATCATTTAATTGTATTTGCCTGAAGTGTATCGATGTCATGATGCATTTGTCTGTTGGCAAGTGGCTTCTTTAACAAAATAAAGTTTAGCAAAATCTCTGAAATTTTATAAATGATCATTCTTTTATTTCATGATGTCAAATTATGCAATTTTCTACTGTTATCACTTTTTATATTTTTTTTTTTCATTCATGCGATTAATGTTATTGAAAAATAGTATTTCCCTCAGGTAAATATATTGGCACTTTTTTGCACTTTTTTAACTACTCCCCCTCAAAAAAAAAAAAATGCTCCGAGCATAAGTTGAAGTTCCTTTGTCCACTTGAAGCATATGATATCCTTCAAAAAGTCAATCATTCATAATATACTTTAGAAGTATTTACTTTTATCTTAACCAGTTAATTATAAGTCAAACATAATATTTATGGAGATGCATTGCTTGAATTATGATAATTAGTAAAAAAATACTTCTGTTGGTATTAAGCTTTTCCACCCGAGTCAAAGGACCATACCAAGGGCAAGGTACCCCCTTTTGTATATATGGCTTTAGCTCGGGTTAATGAAATTGGTTGTACAATCTTCATTTGCATGTTAGGTTCTAGCTTTTTCATTAGCCTAGAAAAAATTAACATCACGCTTGGGCTCAATCAGTTCATATTTCATGCAGAAGACCTGAACTTGTGCCAGTATTTACATCTGACAAACAGTCTTTATATTTATGAACAATCTGTGGCTGCATAGGGCTATCTATATGTCAATACACTATGGACGTCCTTGAGAATCTGATTGTGCTCAGTATTGATAGGGTAAGGATTATCTCCATTGAAAACTAACATGAGCGTTTAATGTTTACATCTCATTAATCTATTATTTTTAAACATTAGTTTAAAGTATTTTTAAGAAAAATAAATTAAATAATTCTAATGGTTAAGATGTCATTCAGTGAATATATCACTGAACACAGTATTGATCTTTAGCCAGCCTCTGGCCAGAAGTTCCCTTTTCACCAAAATATCATGTCACGCAAATCCAAATATAGTGCGTATAATTTCGAATAGCATTTATCCCCTGGATTTAACACCGCTCTCAACCAAAAGTGCAAGCTTGAAGTGATTACGAAACATTTTTGGAATTTATTTTGAACTCAAATTGATGTGAATTTTCAGAAGCAAGTATATGTAATGATGTGATGGAAATTCAAGGGTGAACGTGCTTAACAAAATCATATGTACCGTGTGTTTGGATTTCATTTTAGAATGTAATTTTTTATTCTCTCTCCATGTTCAACAATGAATTTACACGGAAGTTATTATTTGTTCCTGTTCTTTTTATTCAAACGTGAAAATTCACGTTTGGAATCCAATACAAACACGTACGTTGACGGAAATTCAAGGGTGAACGTGCATAACAAAATCAAATTCAAACACACTAAACTTTTACTTTGGTCTGGGTAGTAAAATTTTCACTTTAGTATAAAAAGAGGCTAAGGGGAATAAAATTTTATTATACTTGACGAAGTGAAAGAATGAAGTGAATAATGTTTACAATTTGGGAAATTAATGGGCAAAGAGTAGGGATGACAACGCAGCGGGTGGGTCGGGTACGAGTTTCATGATACCCGTCTCGTTCCTGTGACTCAAATCTTTCCCTGTACTCATACTCGTTAGGTATGTAATTTTCGTTCTCATCCCTATCCTCATCGAGTATCGGGTATACTCGTACCTGTATCCATAAAAAATTATTATTTTTTTTACAAAAAAAAAATACACAATATTTTTAAATTATTTTTTATTATATTATAATTATAATTATATTGTTTATTTATCTCATATTTTAATCAAGAGATTTCTTAATAATTAAATAATTATAAATGTTTCACATTATAATAAATAATTACACATAGTAAAATATTAAATTTTTTTAACATAATTCAATTAGGGATGGTTACGGGTACGGGGCGGGTATGTATATACCCGTACCTGTACCATACCCAGTTTAACATATCAGGTTTTACCTGCCGTCAAAGTCGGGACGAGTTCAAGTATTATCCACGAGTATGAGTTTATTTGTCATCTCTAGCAAAGAGGGATATATACCTAGTGTCTAGATATAATTTTAACGGATTTAAAAAAAAAGACGGTTTTTAAATGTAATTCTTTATGAAAAGGTTATTTTTCACAAATATTCAACCAATGTTTGGATCCCAAAACTAATTTTAATTAACGGACTTTCAACATGATGTTGGATTTAATTTTTTTAAAAAGACTTGGTTTGATTCCTTTCTCATTTCTGTTTTTTTTAAAAAAATTCACTTTATTGAGCAATTAATTTTTCAATAAATGGTATTACGTTTACAATTTTTTTTTAAAAACAGCTGTACCAAAAAAATTGTTTTTAACAATTTAAAATTAATTGAGGATGTTATCTCATCCTCTTCTATTGTTTTCTTCAAGTACCCTATCCTATGTATAAAAGAATAAACTTTTAGTCTAGTTGAGAAGAATTAGGGTAGTATAATACAAGGTTTTAAATTTGAGCTCGTCATTATAATTACTTTTTTTTTTTTTACAAAAAACTTAGCAAATAGAATTATGTTAAGAAAGCAAACATTTTCAAATGTATTTAGGGAATAACTAAATTTTAAGAAACATAAAATTATTATTTTTGATAACAAGAAACTAGTTTTTAGACTGCAGAATCAGTTATAAAGCTCTTAACCAAGATTTAACTCGATTAATTGAATAGTATGTCAGTGATATGGTATGAACTACGGAGTTTGATTTGTATGAATCAATAATGGACGACATGAATAATAAGACAAACTAAAATGTTTGAAATGAATAGTTCAGATACACATTCAAATCACAAATGGGCATTTGGTCTAGTGGTATGATTCTCGCTTAGGGTGCGAGAGGTCCCGAGTTCAATTCTCGGAATGCCCCACCTGGTTTTATCTTTTTTCTTTCCGTGATAAACTCTTACCATGACTTTCTTTTGACGTGCATTAATGATACTGGTTTATGTTAAGTTCTGACAAACTTATTATAATAAAATTACTTTTGTATGATTTTATAAATGTTGAAACTTGAAAGTGGTTAATTATACGAAGGTATAAGATAAAGTAGTGAAAGAGAAAGAGAGGATAAGAATTAAGAGTAGAGAACACATAGTATTATGCTATGCTGCGCCAACAACACTGAACTCAAACTCAATCTCATATTGTGAAAATGGCGGTTGCACTATCGAGTTGCACTTCCTTATCCTCTGTGCTATTCTCCACAGTTAAATTCCGATACTCACTCAGACAAAGACCCATCCTCGCCTCCTTCCATCCACAGCGAGTCTCCGCTTCCTCCAAATCCAATCGACAAAAGGACAAGAAGCAGCAATTGGGGCAGTCAAAAGATGAAAGAGGAAATGTGGTTGAACCCCAAACAGCTTCTTCTAAATCTTTTGGCATTCAAAGGAAAAATAAGGACTTTATGTTCGATTCCAAGGATCAGCAGGTACGCAACACACACATTCATTACCTTTTCTAATTTTTTGGTAGCATGTTAAATGCTCAAATGCACTTGGATGGAACAATCATCCCTCCTCTTCAAACGGGCCCAAGTATGGTCCTGCCTGGGTAAACCAGAAGTACTTCTAGGCCAGAAAATTAAGAATGAAACTCCAAAATCTTATTTTTAACTTTGTCTTGAGGAAGTTAAGTTTAACTGTTCAAGTTTAGGGTGTTTCAAACATTGTGTGGAAATTTAATCACTATTTTGTGTTGTGGAAACGTAAAGCATGTTTTTGCAGTTGTCGTGCTGCATGTCTGATAATTGAATTGAAAATATGTGTGCCGGGGAATGAGAGTTGGCTCCACTGGTAGGACTGAATACCATTTTCCTATAGCTGGTGGCATATCTCCTTACTTTTTTTTTACTTTTTTATTATTAAGATTTTGGCCATTAAAGAGTAATTTCCTATGTTAGGCACAAAATGCCACCCTGTTACACTGGTGGGGAAATGAGGAGAGGGATATAATGTCAAAAGAGGCATTTAAAAAGAAAAATAGAAAATAAGGACATAGTCTATGAAAAAGTGGCAATTCTTTTCCTGGTTATATTTATGAGATACTTGAGAGAAACTGATTATTTCTCTTTGTGTTGTTCTCCATTTTCCTAACTTCAAATAATTATATAATTTCAGGTTGAACCAAGTGATTTACAAGATTCGGCTTTCCTTAATGCTGTTGTGAAGGTGAAGTTTAACTCATTTATATTCCTGGTTAAGCATTGTTTTTATTTTGTCTCAAACCTTTGGATTTGGAGGGGGTGGACCTTAGGAGCAGTGCTACGATAGGAGCGTGGGTATTATGGGTTGCCTAAGTCCCACATCGAGTAGTACGGAATGCTTGGTTCTCCCCCCTTAACAACTACCTTTTAACTTTTAAGGGAGGGTTCGCCAAGTGCTTGAATGCTTTTCATATGTCAAGTTTCTGAATCATCACTCATTTGATCATAATATGATTTTACACCTCACCTTATGTCAACATAGACTCTTTTCTATACTGGCCATAGTTTTACCCTTTGCCTTAAAGCAGTGTCTCGTGTCTTTAACAATGAACAATTTTCATCTTGCTAATTTCTTATTATATTGCTTTCTATACTTCCTATTTGCATTGCTCTAGTATGCGTTTTCTCTTTGTTAAAATATCTTTTTCCAACAACATCTCTAGGTTTACTGCACCCATACTGCCCCAGATTATTCACTTCCTTGGCAAAAGCAGAGACAATTCACAAGTACTGGAAGGCAAGATTTCAAAAACCTTGACTGTGTGTAGAATAGAAAGAATTCTTATTTCTTAATCTTACAGGCTACATCCTGTGCAGTGCATTTATGATTGGAGATAGGAAATTATTAACAAATGCACATTGTGTGGAACATGATACACAGGTAATTTCCTGAATTATCCTATATAAAGTATATTGTAGATTTTTTACTATAAATTTATCAATGGGTTTACAAAAAGTTCTTATAATTGGTTGCCAAATGGACCTTATTTATAAAATAACCAACCAAAAGTGGATAGTTAGGGGAAATTTCCTGATAAAAAAAAGGGCAACCCATTGCACAAGTTTCCCATCTAGCAGGTTTGGGGAGGGTGGATTTACATAGCCTTACCCTTGCAAGCTGAGAGGCTATTTCCATGATTTGAAATAGTGACCTACATGTTACAAAGAAACAAACTTACTGTTATGCTAATTTCCTGATAGCTCAGATTTAAGAAAATAAAAATCATTGAAGATGTAGTTGATAGAACTTGTCTTTGTTAGATAAATTGACAATGGCTAGAGGTGTGTAAAAAATCCAAATTGATTCGATCTATATTAAAAAATCCGATCAATTTTGGAAAAAATCCCGAACCAATCCACTTTGCAAAACCAATTCGATTATTTGATCCATTTTTATAAAGTAGATCGGTTTGGTTCGGTTTTATTAAAAAAAAGATCCATATATGAGTAAAATATGGATAACTGCACCACACCGAATCGATGTAGTTATAAATAAAAAAAATATGATCCATATTTTTAAAAAATCAAATCGACCCACTTGACAAAAAATAGAATTAGTTAACTGATTCACTTTTATACTAACGGATCAGTTCGGTTCGATTTGGATTTTTCAAAAATCCAATCCATGAACACTCCTAACAATGCCAATTGGCTCAATAACTTAATTGTGTTAAGTGCTATGCTAACTTGTTACAAGTTTGTACATCTGAGCTATGAATAACATGCCTAATAAAACTAAAACTTTAAATTGATATTCATTTAATGTCTACTGTATTTGATTATTTGTAAGGTCTGATGCGTAAAACAAGTTAAGGAGATTCAATTGTTATCACTTTTTTTTTTTTGGAATGATTGCAGGTCAAAGTCAAGAAAAGAGGGGATGATTCAAAATATGTAGCTAAGGTATGTCTTTTGCAAAGGAATTGCCCTAGTTTTTTCTCAGTATTCTATTATCTGTTCAAACTTTGGGTGCCAAGAACAATTTGCTTGATATATCTGGCTCTGTAGGATTATCTCATTTATTCTCGATAGCATGCTAAGACCAGAGAGTATCAACAACAGAAATTAATAGCAAATTAGCTTGTAAAGATTTTGTTAAGTGCAGAATAAGTTGTTATTTCTTCAATGAATCAAATGTAGAATACATGTCACCCCTACAAGGGTAAAAGTTGATTATAAATGGTTTAACTCAGGAAAGTATAAGTCAATCACACTCAATTGCAACTTGAAAGGGTGGTGCATTCCCTTTTAAATTTATGGGTTCAATTATTGAAATTCAGGTAACTTGTAATGACCCTTTTCAATAGTTTTAGACAAATAAAATGGTTTTCATGATTCAAAAAAGTTAGCTCTTGATAGGCATATTTTGTTGATCCATCTATTTGATTGTTATTAGTTTACGATGATATGGAAAATGGACATATTTTTTAGCAAAATTTAGACTATAAATATATGGCCTTCATTTCGTATATCTCAAGTTTCAACATTAAATATATTATATAAATAATCACAAAAAACCCTATCATGACAAAATATAAATGTAGTATTGGGTATTATGATTTTTTTTACCAAATGATAATATTCAACTAACAAGGAAAGGCTTTGAGACATCAATAGTTAGGACATGTTCACATATTTACTTTACTAATTGATGGAATGTACAGGTTTTGGCTAGAGGTGTTGATTGCGATATAGCTTTGCTTTCAGTAGAAAGTGAGGAGTTTTGGAGAGATGTGGAACCTCTCAGATTTGGACGTTTGCCACATCTTCAGGTTTAAAAGTTGTCTTTGTTTTGTTATTTCTTGATTGTAACCTTCCCTAAAGAAAGGAGTTAAGTGATTTGTTAACGAAGTCAAAGTGAACTCAATAACGATATATGAACAGTCTCTGAGTGTTAGATGGATTTAGAGAACTAGGTTGAAATGATATTTTGTCATGTGTCAGGTACACAATGATAGTTGTATTTTCTTTCTGGCTATTCCGTGTCAGGAGCTATCCTGATTAATGTCACCTGATCAATATTTGTTATCATATGTTTGAATGACAACATAAACTTTAAATTTAATGCACTGTTCAGCATGATATTCAACTAGTGCAGGGAAGGGTAAATTTCCATACTTCCTCTTTTGTACACCCCTTCCCCACAACTTCAGGTTACAAAATAGTAACTGATTTATTTTCATAATGATTCTACACCAACTATCAAGATGATGTGGGGTTTAATATATTTATGAAAAATGCAAGAAATGATAATTAATTGGCCAATTTTTGAAAGCATATATAGTTTGTCAAGTATAAATTTTCATATATATATATATATATTTGTTTGAATGGTTCAGACTGAATTTTATTTATGCTTTGTTTCTGACTTGAAGGATTCTGTAACTGTTGTGGGATACCCTCTTGGAGGAGACACAATTTCAGTGACAAAGGGAGTTGTATCTCGTATAGAGGTTTGATATATCAAATTGAATGTGAAACTTACCATTTCATTTGTGTGAAATCAATCGTTTTTTATTTATTTTTTGGTTTATGATCTTAGTGCTCAGTTGTTAAAAAATAAATTTTAACCAGGTCACATCATATGCTCATGGATCATCTGATTTGTTGGGCATTCAAATTGATGCTGCAATAAATCCTGGTCAGTATGTCTTAAGTTGCTTAAATTTTGGTTTTTCCTCCTCTCCGGCAAAATTTTTCTCAACTCAATCTTTTCCTATTATATTGTATAATAAGTGTATAACTGCCACTTATCATTGAAATATTTTTTTTCTTCTTTATGAATAATTATATATTGATGTGATAGACATTGTTTGGACTTGTTAAATTTTAGGTAATAGTGGAGGCCCAGCATTCAATGCCCAAGGGGAGTGCATTGGAGTAGCATTTCAGGTAGATTGTTTGGCCTTCAATTAGTTGATGTGTCATTGCTTGCTTGGCATTTATACTTTTCTATGAGAGGTCTGCTTTTTAAGAAAATAATTACACACTTGTGATCTTGGACATATTAGCATAATCATGTTCAAGAGAATGACCACTTCAGTTCTGCTAATTAAGAAATTATATTACAGTATATGTTTTTAGATATTAAATTAATCATGAGCCTTCTCCTAAACAACTTATGCTTTTGGGAAAATTGGTTTATGACGTGGTATTAGAGCTTTCATTGCCAAATGCCAAGTGGTCAGGATATCAATCTTTGCTGTCCTCCATTTTTCTAGATAAAAAGTTGAATTTTAGCCCAAGGTATGTTACGCTTGTCCGTCATCCACAATCCAAGCCCAAAGCCTTCACAGCTTAAGCTTCTGGGAGAGCTGGTTCATGAATCATGACATATAATATGTGTTTCTTCATTTCTTGTGCTAACTGATCATAAATTTCATTACATTGTCTGTTTTTTCTGGGTCATTTTCTTATGGGACATTACCTCTAGGTCTTCAGATCCGAAGAGGCTGAGAATATTGGATATGTGATTCCTACAACTGTTGTATCTCATTTTTTGACCGACTATGAAAAGAACGGAAGGTATACCGGTAAGAAACACTTCTAGAAAATTGCTATATTTGATAGATTTGGTGTGTCACTATGTGTTATTTGAGTAAGCACACTGAATTGTATATTTATTACTGGAAACTATATGATTTTTAGGCCAAAATTACAATAAAACCATAAAAGACAGACAACAACACAGTGCACAGGGTTTTGCTTGACAAGGAGGTCTCTCCATGTACATACTGCATTTAGTAAAACTACCCAATCATAACCGCATCCAATCCCTATACATATAATGCATCATGCACTAACTCTATAACTACCTCAATAACGGCATAAAGATGCAAATAACACCCAAAAACAATAATCAGATCCATAGCCACCTAAATAACTGCCTAAGGAAACAATTACTACACAAACACTAATAATTCAGGCCTACTAAGTCTCAATTTGCTTTTTATCCCTTCTCACAAACTCTCCAAGGTCTATCACTATGTTTGCTACAGACATTGCATCATACTCCTTGGGAAAATTCAGTGTTTTGTGTGATGTGAATATCATTTTTTATGACCATCTCTCAGAAAATGTCTTACTGGTAAAAGTTATTAGCTACTAAAAATTAGGCTATTGCAATCGTGCAATGACATATATACTGATGTAAGATGAATTTTAGAACCTTGTGCACATCAATTTTTTACATGCCAATTTGTACACAAAAAATGACCTTCCCATTCACACTGTGCTGTTTTGTGTGCGCATATAAATTTCTTCACATCTTTGCACAACAACGTTAATAGCAATATAAGTTTCAAGTTACATCAACGTGTGTAATTTGCAGTACAAGTGTGTATTCTTGTGATGTCCTACAAAGCCTGGAATCTTTCAATTCCAGTTTGTATCCAGATTCAAGAAATTATTTTTTTTACCACTATTGGATTTCAAAAGCATATCATGTTCTGTGTCTATCATGAATGAAGCCTCCTAATCAAGCTTAATATGGAAAACTAAAATGAAAGTCTGAAACCATATTTTTACTCCTAGGTTTCCCTTGCCTTGGAGTACTTATACAGAAGCTCGAGAATCCTGTACTACGGGAATGGTTGCAAGTACAGTCTAACGAGGTATGTCTTTGGCTAAAATCTTCGGTGGTATGTTCTTATGCAACAAATTTAGTTGTTTTATGCATGGGATGATTTTTTTGAACACTGGTGTTTCCAGATGCCAGCATGTTCATTAGCCACATATGTGATCTCTGGAAAATTAGGTTAAATGAAAACTGATTTTCTATTTCATAATACAAAGAGATCATACAAGATATATACAGGAGACCTATGCTATTTTAGGAAATATAATAACTCTATTTTATTCTAGAATCCCTTGATTTATGGGATTGTACCTAATTATTCAAATCTGTACAGATTACAAGGAAATATACAAATTTCCTAATTTATTATTTCCTAAAATACTATTTGATTTCCCACACTGAAACGCCTTACAGGCTGACTTACGGAGCTGACGCAATGATTCCAGTGGAAATCGGAGAGACATCTCATCGACGCCAGGTCTTCAGCAACGAGCAGAACGCTCAAGAGTTAGTAGCTGACCTCGACTTAATTGACGAGCTCAGAGATGAAGCTCAAATCCATGAAGAAGCCTGCAAGCTCCGAGCTTCCAGAAGATACAATACGCGAGTACGACCTCACTCCTTCCGAGTTGGTGACCAGGTATGGCGATTGTTAGGCGAAGCACGGAAAGACGCATCAGACAGAAATCTCGCACTCAACTAGGGTGGCCCATTCCGAGTAGTAGAAGACTTAGAAAATGGGGCATCCAGGCTAGAGGAACTCAGTGGCAAAGTCATTCCACGGACTTGGAACGCCACACATCTAAAATTCTATTTCAGCTAAACTTGTAAGAATGAGCTGTGCACTCATTTCCCGCCTCAGCTTTTTGTCCCAAAAAATAGAAAAATGGGTTTTGGCTGAGAGGGTTTTTAACGAGGCACATATATACAATCAATAAAGTAATTCATTCCTTTCCATGCATAATTTCTCAATTTTGCATTATTTTACCATGAGATGGTTTATGCTGAATCCGAGGTCGAATCCGAACCTTAGCACAATACGTTTACACCGACGTATCTCACCCTTAAACAAGGTCGAGTTCGAACCTTAATACGTTTCGCTTAAACCAGAGGTCGAGTTCGAACCTTGATGTAATCCATATTACTCTTAACTCGAGGTCGAGTTCGAACCGTAGTCCGAGTTACCCTTCGTAAAATCAAGGTCGAGTTCGAACCTTAGTAGAACTTACTCCACTCTAAGCTGAGGTCGAGTTCGAACCTTGGTACAATTTACTCTGCTTTACGCCGAGGTCGAGTCCAAACCTTGGTACGATTTATTTCACTCTAAGCTAAAGGTCGAGTTCGAACCTTAGTCCGAGTTACCTTACATAAAATCGAGGTCGAGTTCGAACCTTGGTAGGACTTATTTCACCCTAAAGCCGAGGTCGAATTCGAACCTTGGTACAATTTATTCTGCTTTACGCCGAGGTCGAGTCTGAACCTTGGTACGATTTATTTTATTCTAAGCCGAGGTCTTGTTCGAACCTTGGCACATTTTATTCCGCTTTACGCCGAGGTCGAGTCCGAACCTTGGTACGATTTATTTCATTCTAAGCTAAAGGTCGAGTTCGAACCTCAAGACAAATTATTCACATCAGGCCAAGTTTGAGCCCCCAAAAAGCGCAAAACGGAAATTGATTTTCTTAATTTATAGCAACCATCTGAAAAGGTTGTTTCTATTAAGAAATATTTTGAAGAAAAGAAAATTTATTTTGAACAAAAATGGAATAGCTCAGTTCACCAAGTTTTGGAAGAATTGAAGAAAAAATCAGATAACGATCAGCTTTGGAGTACTATGGAAAAATAGTTAGAGTATCTGAGTAAGAAGTTGTGGGTCCCTTGTCTCCCACTTCGCCCAAAAGATACTCTCTTTAGTTTGTCGTTTGTGTCGGCGGTCTAAAGTAATGACTCGCCAGTTGTATTTTGTCGTTTGTGTCGGCAGCCAAAAGTAAGGTTTGCCAGTTGTAATTTACTTTTAATTAGATTGCAACACGTGTATGTATAGGATGTGTTGCTTTGAGTCTTGAGGTTGGCTTTTCAGTCTTTAAATAAGAGCATTCATTCGGAGTAAGGGACACAGCTCTCCTGAGCCTTAAACCTCTATCTCCCTTTGAGTCTCCTTCATACACTATCAATGGATCTGATATCATAGACGGAAATGCAAAGGCCCAAGTTTGCTATAACCTGACATGATTACACAAACCCAAAATGAAGCCAAAAAAACATTAAGTCAATTACGTAACAATGGTTAGTGATCCATTAAACACGACACACACACATGAGCTTTGTGCAGGTGAACGAACTCATCTCAAAAAATTATATAACCAAACAAAAGGGGAAACACCATACCGTGAGCCTTCAATATACAGAGAATCTTGCTTCGGGTGACACTCTTCACCTCAGCAATTCCATGAGAGTCTCGAAGAATCACACTGATTTGAGATGGAGTGGTACGTGCGGGCTGTTGCGGCACTACAGGCTGTGGCTGCGGGGCTTGAGAGTAGAGTCTCAACTCATCACTTTTAACCCTAGCTAAAAGAAATAAATTCCCAAATGTTTATGGCCAGGGGCAATAGAGTCGCAAGACTCTTATGTCTTAACTTTATAA